CCAACCTCCAGCTTCCAATCTCCCTGTTTCCCAGCTTCTCTGGTTTATGGCCTTGCTCCCCAGCAGGTTTCATTAGGCTGTGGTATGTTAGGCAGCTAGGAGCCTATGAAGTTGGGCCCGCTGCAAAGACCCGAACTCAAGGGATTGAAAGACCAAAGAGAAAAGCCACATTTTTTGTGCTCCATTGTGCAAAAGTTTGCGTCCACTGTGCATGGTTGACATTCTAATTCATCTAGGAGATTCACAGACCCAGTAACTTTTAACTGGCAGCTTGAGTTAAGCTTGGAGAAGAGCCTGTGAGAATGCTTGGATTAGCAAAACAGGCTAAAACACAAGCTGCTTTGTGTTCTGTGCATCATTAACCTTAAATACAATGTTCTCCATTGCAGCCTTACCTTGCACCAATGGCAAGGTGCTGCTTTTCAGCTGCTGTGGCAGGTTAAACACTAGTGACCCACCCAATTACAGCTGTTAAAATGAGAGTGGAAATGTTCATAAAGAGAGCTGTGGTAGGGTGATAAGTGGCCCAGACGACACTGCAGACAACCAAGTATCTGAGCCAGAGATTTCTTTCATAGTGTCTATAGGAGCAAAATGATTTCTGCAGTATCAAAAATGCCAGCATATGCATTAAACTTTTCTTCTTTTTTCCAAACTTTTCTTCTTTTACTGCTTCATTTTTGTGCTTAATTTGCTGAAATTAACCAGTTAAACAGGGTGTGTGTTTTTTCAAGCCACTCAAGCTAGGTAGTGCTGTTGCCTGGCACACACCCTGTTCGAGCAATAAGATTCAACATGTTTGCAACAAAAAAGACAAGAATGATTAAATGGAGTTGGAAAGTAGTAATTGTTCTCATTGCTTGAAGCAGACATTAAAAATAATTACAATTTGGCAATGGTATATTCAGATATAAACACTCAGTGTCTCAAACGCTCCTTGGAAGTAAAAGTTAACAAAAATGAAACACCTGTTCATATATCAGTGCTGCTGCAGTTTAGCAGCATGTAGCATTCCTGAAGCTGTTAAATACATGCATTATGCCAACAAAAATTTGGCCACATGTTTACTTAAGGCCTGAATAAATACGGCCAATCTCTGGCAAAAATCAGATCAAGTTCTTACCTGGGGTTAATCAGACTGACAGCAAAATGATAAGAAAACTAAACATGACAAGTAGTATTATGTAAATAACTATTGTTGTTGCAAAACAGAATGTTTAAAGGAAAAAATCCCATGTTCTGACGGACAGAATGTGTTGATTTATTTACATGGTTTCCAGCTGTGTGAATGGAGCAGCTCCCATGGATCGCTGGACATAAAAGATGAAGTGAGTGAGTTGAGCTAAAGCAAGGCTGAAGTGAGCACTATTCTCATGGGCTTTATCCACAAGAGTCAAATCTGCAACCTGACTCAGGCTGGCTAATCCTGAGGGTGTGAGGGAGAGTATTTTGAGTAGTAAAAAAGTATGTGTTGAAGTTTTGCAATTCAAGTCCTTTAACTCTGCTTTTCTCTTTTGTGGTTAAACTTCCAGAAAACATAAAATTGAAAATTGTATTTGTATTTACTCTGGCCGTGGAAGTAAAGCCTGAATTACAAATTATCTCAAGTCAGGTTTGGGCTTTTTCCTTATGAGACGTTAAGAAGTCTCATGTAAAACAATCATCTAAGGGTTAAAGGATAAAGTGAAGGACTGCTGGCTCTGTGGAACTTAGAAGGATGCTGGGCAGAGTATCTGCACAGGGGAAACCACCCTGCGGTTTGCGATGCGAATGACTTCAGACAGATGTTGTTACTCTGTTCCCTGCTGCCCACTGCAGATTCTCCTCCCTGCCTAGTGGGGCTTGTGCGGGGCACAGGGACCTGCATCCTGGCTGGCAAGCAGTAGCATGCTTCCCGGAGGGAATTTTGTCAAGAGTCTCCCTTCTTATGGATGGCTGTAGTTTTCAGAACTCAGAACACATTTTTTTTTTCTTCCACAAAGTGGAAATACCAGACTGATTCTGTTATCTAATTTAGGGCGCAAACTCCCACGGAGATGGGAAAAAGACAAAGAATTTCCTCCCATGTCTAAGAAGAAATAACCTTTATATTATATAAAGTGCTTTAGTCAACAAATTGTTTCATTCAGAGTAAGAATGATATGCATAACCCAGTCCTAAACCTATCCCCCAACATACAAAGGTAACAGAATCAACAGACAACGACCAGCATGCTACCCTTTAGACAGGGCAACAAATGGCTCCTGCTGCAAATGGGCAAATCTGAATATCCCATATATCCTAAATACTGAAAGATCTCAGATTCATGCTCCAAATCAGAATGATTGCATGGTTGCATCTGCAGAGATAACCAGTAGTAAATACAGAAGCATTCCATAAACAAGCAAATCCATAGCCAGTAAGTTACAATATTTTTTTATTCATGTTAGAATTTCTATCAGTGTTTGAACATTAATATTTAGAGAGTTTGTACAATTTCCATTCAAAGCTTAAAATGAGAACCACGCTAGATCACAAATGGTAACTAAAACACAGTTCAGAATTGTATGAATAGTCACACTCTCTTTCTCTCTTAACACTGTTAAACACTTTCTTTTCTCCAGGGGGTTTTCAAGGAAAAGTGTGCACTGTAATTGTATCTCAGCAGTGTTCCAAAACATAACGGTATCATCATTACATATAAACTCTTTAAAAATATATTTCTGTCAAAAGACTTGATGACTACTATGTACACTACAAAAATAAATTTTCATATAAATAAATTATATGGCATAATTTTATCTTTGTAACTGAAATGACACAAACCCACTCCTACCAAACAGGCAGGCAATGAGACCCAGTTTGAATATTTTTTTTTCCTTTTAACTCCTTACACTAAAAGCTACAACAAGTCCATAATGTAAATGTTATATACTCTTTCCTATTTAACATTAGTAAGCACTCTATACAAATAAAAATCCATTAAACAGTAAAAACATAACTGTAATAGTGTTTCCAATAGAAATAAAATCCCTGCATTTTGTTTGTTATAAACTGGCATGAAAAATACTGTAAGAAAAACATTCTTATGATACAAAAATATAAATATCACCCATGATTAAAAAAGTTAAGAAACAAAACCAAAACAAAACAAAGGTTGCCAGCCACTGAGTTCTCCCCTTGCCAATGTGACTATCGAAGAAGAAGGTCTACATTGTGCACAAAGCAGCAGACAGCTCACCCACACACAAGCACGCAGGAAGGCTTGGGGCAGGGGCAGGTGGGAGACACTGCAACTTGCCCTGGGCCCCTTGCCTCCTGAGGAAGAGCAGGAAGCAAGGCAGCCTGCGGCACGGAGTGGTGCCAGTGGGAGCCCTGCCAATCTCTGACACGTGAGCGCACAAGCTTGGTGGTTGAAGGTGGCTTCCAATTAGTATCATAGAGTTTTCTTGCAGAGTTTGTATGATCTGAGGTCACTATGCTGCTAGTGCTAAATTGGGGCCCCTCATCTTTTTGTCATCAAGAGTTTTCACGTTAGACAGTGAACTGGACCAGTAGGCAGTTGCGACATTAACCCTTGGTGTGCACTGAGACAGTAGCTTATGTATCACGGGAATGACACCAGGCTCTCGCCACCTGCTCTTCGAGCGTTCACATTGGAGATCTGTAAACAAGTGCCTCATATCAAAGTGTTTTCAAGTGAGCAAAAAAGGCATGGAATTTTGTGCATTCTAATTATCCCCATTCGTTTTGCTGGCAAGGTCTATAGGCAAAGATAGACTCCCTGAAGCCACTGGAGAAAAACACTTTCCCATCAAAGAATTGGCCACTGCTATTCAGGTATACATAAAGAAAAGCCCCACCACTGCTGTGTTTAGAAACTGAATATTGTCTGTGTTTGGCTCTGAATACAAAACTGAACATCTACCTGCTCTAAAAAACAGCTTGGTGAAGGGCAGAAAGAGATAAAAAAAGAAGACAGAGATAATGAAAACTTGTGTTGCATTATTTTAAATTAAGGTTCTTTGTTCCTATGGTTTGTTTCCAGCTGGAAACAGATTGCAGTGTTTTTCCAGACCCTTCACCAGCAGCAATCCCCTTTTAGTTTAAAAATAATAGTACAAAAAGCTAAATTAGTTTCGCAAAGAGATCCCAGTTTAGCTGTTATAATTAAAAGTGCCAATGCAGCATGGGAAAACACAAACAATAAAGAAAATAACTACCCAGGCCTTAAGTGTCATTACCATCCTGGCCCACCAAAAAGCCATTTATATTTAAAAGTGAATATACTTTTTTTTTAATCCTTCCATTTGATTTTTATTACTTACTATTAACTCCTTCCTGCCATGAAAATAAGGTGACCAAAGATACTGCTTTCAATGCTGTAATGACTCAGCTAAGCTGTGGCTAACCATCAAACAATCCATTATCCAGCTTCTGAACCCATTCAAAATTAACAGTATCAAAATAAGGCAGATGCTCATTGTATTTCTATAACCACCAGCACCTGTCAATATCCAGCACCTTTGGAAGTGAAAAAATAATGGTTATAGTGCTTGCACTTACCTGGCATATTTTGCGAGGGAAAAAAAAACATCGAAGCACTACATGAACTGTAATTAAGCCTCACAACATTCCTGGGAGGTAGGTAAGTGTAATTATAACCATTTTACAGAATGAAAAACTGAGGCATGGGGCAGTTAAGTGACTTGACTAAAGTAATGTGAAACAAGTCATTAAGGGTTTGGGAACTGAAACATAATTCTAAACCTCAACTCCCTGTCTTCTCTAGTATTTTAGTTGGGCCTTTGATGATGGCAGTCTGTAGTTGTATATATTGGTAAACAACTGAGTTTTCACTAGTGCCTACTAACAGGGAAAGCCAGACTCACATCAGCATCAGTGGGTTTGTAAGCCCACCAAGTGTTAAGATACAGTAAAAGAAAAACTAGAGTACACCAGGAGCATACACACAAAAGCATGCATGTTTCCAGATGCACACTTGGACACATACAGCAAAACAAAACCTGCACATAGCTAAGTCTATTTAAGCCTCCCAGATTAACTCGCTTTTCTTCATATTTGCTTATTTTAAAAATTCCCACGCATAGCGTGTTTGAAAGTTAACAGTAACATTTCATACTACCACAGGGTTGTGATACACAAATTTAAAATATTTTAAACAGACATGTACCTTTTAAGAAATCCTATTACATAAGCAATATTTGCATAGAATTATACAAGTAAATTATAAAATATTTAAGCAGCAGCAACTTATGCTGAAATTTAGAACTAGATTAAGCTTAGTTGTGGCACAGATATCAATGTACAGGAAGTACAAAGAGCACACAATTTTGTCCCCATTCTATTGCCCAAAGGCAAATTACTCCAGACTATACTACTTTACATCGTTCTTTTGTATATTACATATGTGTACATCTTTTAAATACTTAAAAGAAATATTTAACAAAATAATACAATAGGTTACAGTAACAGTGAACTGTTGTCCTGATGCAGCATGTCCTTTTCTACAACTTCAAGCAGTTCTCTTCAAGCAGTTCTGGAATACAGTTTTCCATCTTTGGCCTCTTCTTTGCTTCAGTTATTACCCTGTACAAATAAGGAGAGAGAAAAAAGCAAACATTCACTAAATTTCAAGAAAAACAAATCAAATGAAACCAACTCATTTAATGATTCTTGTGGTTAGATTTAGTAGTAGGTTAGATTTAGTAGCCAGGAAATGCTGGCTCTACTTTCATCGCAGGTATTAATTTCCTGGTGAAGAAATACTGATGCCAATTAAAAAAATGTTGATGCTTTAATTTCTAAGTTCCCAGTTTTAGATAGCTGTGACAAATTCAGTCAAAACTAATTAACAGTTGAAGAAGAAGTATGCTACATTGAATACCGAGTTTATTTAAGAGTCTCACATTAACGTACACTTCAGCTTGAAAAAACTAAGCCCAAGTATTTCCTTATTCTTTGGATACTATTATTTGTCATATTTCTAGACTGCAAGGCTAAAGGCATTCACTCCTATTTACACTTTGGGATATTTGGAGAGACATTTTATGATTCAGAAAGTGGTTTCATTTTGAATTATCATTAAAATTTCTGTCGAAACACTGTGTGTGTGCATACACATGCATGCATGCGTACATGCAAAATATTCTAGAATCAAAATAAAATTACTTGCTCTGCTCAGACTGTTGTCTGTCACTGAAAAGCTCAGACAAGCAAAGAGAAAAAACAGTAATCCACAGATAAGTAACTATTCTAACACCTTCTTTTTCCCTGCAAGAGAAGAACATAGTAAAAATAGTGAGAAATAGTTTTTTCATGTAAGAGCCCCAAGAAGTTTTCAGTGTAAAAACTCAGTGGGCAGCTCTATCCTGTGCAAACCTGCAATTGTCACTGCAGATGCCCCTGGTATGGCAGAGGTCAGCTCAGACATCTCCAGTGTACGAGGTCACTGGGGAGGTCTCTGAAGGCCCCTCCAAAGAGCAGGGGACACCCAGCTGAGCAGAAGTGCACTAGGCATGTAGGACTTCCCACCTATCACCTGGCTCTTCTTCCAGAGGGATTCAGTCCTTATTATGGACTTTCAATTATTTCACAAATTATTTTATTCAAGAGATGACAGCTCCTGAAGTAGCTGGCAATTTTTACACTCTCCTAGGCAATGTCATTTTATATAATGTTTTAGAGCATGCCTGATTCAGGGATCAGAAGACAGGACTTACACAATGGTATATGCAGTTGCACAGATCTGAAGATGTTATACAACATCTCTGCTTTATTTTCCTCATCAGGTAAACTGGGATTGTATGATGTACTTATCCATTTTGCAAGGCTCTTCGAAGTAGTAAATGGAAGTATGACTTCCCAGTGTTGGAGTGCTCTATCTTAGTCAACCTCATGTCCAGTGCAAAATGTACTATATTCACAGTTAGCAGATTTAAGGTGATCAGTGTGACCTGTAAGTAGCGCTGTCTATGAAAAGTTACCTCTGAGAAATTTAATTTTTCTCTTTCTTTTGATCACACCATTGCCTGACACAGGCCAATGCTTGCAGTTACACAGGATGGACCTACCTTATGGTGAGCTGTTGCCAGGTATCCTCTCCTCACATTCAACATCTTGCAGTTCTATAACTTCCACTTTAGAATTTCTTCTTTCACACCGCACATTAAAAGGCACGTGGGGGTCCTCAAATGGCGCATGGCCGGCCTCATGGTGTCCCTCGCAGGATGGAAAGCTCGCTCCCCGAGGGCTGTGGCTGTGCAGGGCAGGGTGGACAGCAACAGTGACTGAGGCTGAGGCAGTCACAGTAGTGATGGGCTGGCAGTAGGCTGCTCCCGCGGCGCCCGCGGCCCCAAACGCCGGGCTCCGAACGCTGTGCGAGCGTGCCTTGTGGCCCAAACGATCCCTGCTGCTGCTGCTGCTGCTGCTGGGTCCCGAGGGCCCTTCAGTAGAAATTTCAAAAGCGTCCCTGCGAGGGCGGTAAGGAGGTGGTCGCGGCCCTTCCCTCGCTTCCCTTTTGGGCTGCCTGCCCTGATGCCACGGCTGCTGCGCGCTGGGCTCCGGATTCGGCCGCAGCCGAGGGCTCGGCTGATGCCTGGCTTCCGGCTGAACCACCTGAGAAAGACACGCACGGTTACACCTCTGACACAGCAAAGCAAGCAAATACCACACTTGCTTGTGTTTTATGCTGGGAATAATTATAATAATGCTCTGACTCTACAAAGGGAATGTTGTGGAAGCTGATAATTGATTTTTCCATGGTTTTTGTCTGAAGTTTTTAAAACCTGGAGAGCACATCTTCAGAAAACACAGGATGACAGCTGAAAACATTATTGTAAGCTTCCTACATGCTGGTCCATCTTTTCAAAGGGATGGGTGACAAGCACTTGGTCTTAACTCAACAAGCAGAATTGCAGGCATTTGGAAAAGGCTATTCCACGCAGGGAACATACACAGGATGTTAGTAGGGTAGTTTGTATAGACTGTAGGAATCTGTTTTCTGATTTCCATAAAGAGCGTGAAGCACAGCAGCTACATCAGTCAATAAACCGTGACCAACTTCAAATGTGGCTGTGCTTGTACCTATTTCTAGGCCTCTGCTGAACAAAACCAGATCCGCATTGCAGCTCAGCATGCAACATCAGCAGGGGTAGGAGACAGAGCTTTTTCACTTTCCTTTGAAATCGCAATTATGCCAACTCAGTAGCAAGATGCAACAAGGCCCAAGATTTGGTACAGCACTCAAACTGCTTTCTTCTGGCTCTAATCTTTCTCTCCAAAATGTGCTGCCTCAGAGAGGTATATTATAGCAATCCACATGGAGCTGTGTGAAAGAGGTTGGGATCTTGTAATGTCTCCTTCTCTCTCTGAAAACAGTCATCAAACAGACTGAGAGCTCTCTCTTGTGGCTGGTGCCAATAGGATGTAATAGCAATTACTCATGCCAAACACCTGCTTTTGTACCACCACTTTAGCTCAGTTCTAAAGGAGAGAATGAGGAAAACCTTCACTCCCTGCGAACAGGTTTTGGCACAAAGTCACAAAGCACAATCCGTCATAAAGAGTTTTCCGTGAAAATAAATAGATCTTTTTAAAAAAACCCAAAAAACAAAACACACCAAAAAACTTCCTCTTGCCCTCCTGCTAATACATATGAAAGATACTTACAGTGGATCTTGCAAAGACAGGATTCTCAGTCGCTTCCACTATTACTTGCTGGGCTGGTGCCCCAGGACCTTGGGTGGCCTCATACTGATGCAGCTCTTCACTGATTCCAGACACTGTGGTTTGAGAGCTGTACTCAGAATCAGAGGAATCTGAAGCATTATTTGTGTGGCCAGGTGGCAGTGCAAACCTCACAGTACCAGGGGGTGGCTCAGGAGATGGTGTGGGCAATCTGTCCTGTCCATTGGCTGGAGAAACCTGGTGACAGCAACACTTTCAGTTACATTCAGCTAGCTTTACCCTTTTAATCACTAGAGCTTGACACAAACAATGTTCTGCCAAATACACCCTGCCGTGCCACAACAAGCTTAGCAACAGTTTTCTGATGAACACAGATACTGAACTGAAAAAATTAATGGAAGTATAAAAGACGTGACCTCCATCCGCAGATACATATGTAAACAAGACTACACAGATATTCTTCTGAATATCGTTGTATCAGGAAGAGCATACATGTGTATATGTGCATGCACTTGCAAATATATAAACAAAAATAATATGTGGGCTCCCCTCCCCTTTCAGCAAGCATTAGCAGTGATTTCATAAAATCACCTCAGTGGGTCGGGACAGTGTTACTCCATGTCTGTTTGCAAAGAGAGATGGATACACACATCACAGCAACATATATGGTAATAACACACACATTCACATTATTTGAGTAATAGACAGGTCATGCGTACTGTTAGGAATGCGGAGAGTACACATTGTTGTCAAAACTGTTTTACTAATATTAAAAGAACCCAAACACTTGTGAAATATACCAGTGCTGAATACATACCTTGTGTTTTATTCTTGTGCACACACATAGATATATGAAACATAGCACACTGAATCTATTGACACATGATAAAGACAGCCCCACATAACACAGTAATTGTATTAACTACAGGGTAGGTAATAAATGACCAACAACCAAATATAAAGATGGTGTCTGTGAATCCTGGAGTCTGGACTTGGAGTTTGTACTGTAAAGTCATCAACATCTAAGTGAAGCCTTCCCCACAACAAAAATGCTACTTGAGGCAGGAGAATGCCAGAGGGAGAGGTGGCTGGGCAGTGGGGACCTTCTGGCAGACCAATCCTGGTTATCAAGGTGTGGTCTCTCGACCACCACTGTGTGTGTTGGTCCACACCGGCCTTCCTGGTGGTCTGCTCAGCTAAACACTTTGAGGAATGCAACAGTGCCACTGAGGTAGGAAAGTAGAAGCTATGTGTACAAAACAAACTATCTTTTGCAAAATATTGAGGGAAATCCTTATTTTATAAACTTGTTTGCATATCACATTATGCGAGTAGTATAAATAACCCTATCAGGTTTGCTTATTGTGACCTCTAAAACAAGACTTATTAAAAAAAAAACAAACTTTAAAAAGGAGTAGTATCAACTATGTAACAAACAGCACTTTTAATAAAAATTTATAAAGAAGCCTGAGAGCAAGAAACTTAATCAAAGAAAATTTTAAAAATATTTCCTAAAACCAGGCAGTGATTGAGGGGGACAGCAACACAGACATAGTATTATTTTTCTGTTCACTAGTAATTTTACTGACCTCAGGGTATGGTCCAAAGAATGAGAGAAGAACAGGAAGCAGCACCAATCCATTGAGAACTCCCAGAATGGTTAGGATTGCCAAAACAGCAAAGAAATACCTGAAGTACAGTTTAAATGGTTTGGGGGAGAGAATAGCCACTGTTAGAAACAAGGAATTACAAATTACTCCTACATATGTTAAAATAATACAGATCCTATATTAGCTCTAATATATTACTAACATCAAAGGAAACAATTATATCACTTTCCATATAAAATATAGGGGTTTTTACCTTTTGAATTAGAGAAGCTACATTCCACAAAGTGTTAGTTGAAAAGGAAAGAAAAAAATTAAATTTGTTAATTTCCCAGAATTTGAAAACATGTAATGTTATTTATGAATGTGTTACACAAACACAAAAATATGGATTGTGCAGGGAAGGGCTGAATGGATTGAAAGCACAAATACAATGAAAAGGGGCCCCCATTAGTGAAAACCCAGCAGAAGCAAACAAATGAAGTGAAGGGTGTAGAATTTAAACAATTTAGTGTAGAAGGAAAAGAAGCCCTCTTCTCCCATCAGCTAATCCACTGTGAAATGCTTCTGCAACTTACAGCAGAATGTCTAATTAAATCTACAGTATATCAGGTAAGGGTTTTCCTTGCTGTTCATTAATCAAACTTAACGCCTAGAATTCTGTGAGTTCCAGTTTTACCAAATAGCTTGAATTGCAACTCTTTTACAACACAGGAACCCGCCTTCTGCAAAGAAAATGCCCATTCTATAGTAAGCTTCAGCATTGTACTGAGTAAGAGCGCTCCACAATGGCAGAGCTGCATTGCAGGCTAATCTTTTGTTGAACAATTTAGCATCTCTGAATACTCTTGTTTTGCGTCAGCCAATTCAAACATAAAGGCTGAAATACTATGGAAGAAGAGAAAAGTGCACAAGTAGTTGTCCTTTCCCACCACTGAGGGCTAAGGTCTGGGATCCTTCATGAATACCAAGGTAAACCTGTCAGTAAAAGGAAAGTCTTGCTAGTTGGTATTCGGCACAGCTGGGGCTCAGACTAAACTTAAGACTGCGTTGTAACTAATGATTTCAAGGACTCAGTCTTGGTAAATTCCTGAAGGAGAAGGCAAAGGAGAAGAACAGAGGGCAAGTTTGCTACTAATGGGTCTGCTGATTACATTGTCTAGCTGGCAACAAACTTTACTGCCTCCCTGTTTTCACATCTGATCAAATATATCAGACTCCTGTAAAACTATAAATATCCTGCTATTGTAAACATTTGGGAATTTCTGATCTGCATTAACAAAAATCAGCAAGCCAATCTACTCTACTAACATAAACCACCAGAACTTTAAACTGGGACACAGATCAACAACAGACATTAAAAACATTTGCATCTCATCCATCTAACGTTAGAATAAACAGGAGGATTATGGCTTTGACCAGTTGGTGTATACAGTGTCTGTTAATTTACTTAATCTTCCACATTGCTGGACTAATCTGTTGCTTTCCGGAAGTTTAGGATCTTCTTCGCCCACTCTAACAATGCTCAAGCTCCCCATAGTTTATTTTATTATATTTTTTAAACACAGCAAACTGAAGTGAGACTGTGCTATAAAAACAGAAACTGATGGCCAAAAAAAGTAAAATAACATAAGTTGAAAAGTTGAAAGGCTCATTTTATAAACTGAGAGCACATCCAATCCAAATTTGGTGCGAAAGGCTGCTACAATCTTCCATTTGCTATGACACAAAAATGTGTGCCAAAATCTCATCTGTTAAGTAGGAAAGTTGCACACCAAAAATATACCCCTGTAAATTTAGGTTAAATCTATCAGTAACTTGTATGTCAAAATGTTCTGACCCTTACAAAACCAGGTCCTAAAAGAAAAATTCTATTTCTTCAATACCAATTCAATAAAGTAAAAAAATAGTGATTTTGGGGGAAAAAATTATTTCAGGACATGGAATACCTGTATAGTAATATTCTTCATGCAGGTTTAATGAGATCTAACTGCAACCCGCCTGCTTTCTGCAAATCTCTTTCATACATAAACAAAAAGCCTGATGAGATTTAGCAGTCATTCTCCCAGTTCCTGTCCCTGACATTTGTTGTTCTTGTTGTCAAATGGATGTCAGTTAAGTCTAGTCATCTATCCAGCTTATGTCTACCTAAGTAGTTAAGCCATCTTTCAGAGCATTTTTATTTGGCCCAGTTCTACCTCAGTTCCATTTTAGGGCTTGGATTATTTTTTTGTGTGTGTGTTATAGTTTACCACAAAGAGCCTGTGTTACTTCTAAGATTAGCCATTTTGCAGAGCTCCACAGGTTGTTTGGAGTAGAAGAGGATCTGTTTCATTGCACTTCTCAAATTCCCCTCAAGAAAAGACTTGCTTTCCTCTATACTTGACAAACACACATTCTTAATTATATTCACAAGAAACAGCCTGCTTGTAGTTCTGAACAGAAGGGCCTTTAGGCTTTGCTGTACAAAATTTTAGTATGAAGTTCTACGTTCATATTTATGGTTCCCCAGCTCCCAAACAGCGCCTTCTCCCCCCCCCCCCCCACATCCCCCACCTCTTTTCCTCATTATGTAAAACCTACATAAGGATAGAAGGGGAAGGCCCTGAGAGAGTCACTTGCAGCACAGTTGAATGTTTGTAGGTTCACATGTCTTTTGCATACAAATTCCTGTGCATACAAGAAGTCTGGAGGACCTCAAGGCTAAAGGTCAGCTGCAGCTAACACTGGACAATACAAGATGCTTTGAACTAATTCAAACCCAGAATCAGCAAAGCTTCTAAAGAGCAACATTTTTGTGCTCCTTCATGTTAAGTCTCAGATTTTCCTGGAACAGATTTTAATGTCAGTGATGGAAACACTACCATGTCTAGCAAGTAACAAGGAGTTAATAAAACAGAGGGAAGGCAGGACCATGACATAAGCGTACTTGACACACCATGCACAGTAATAAAATGACAGATTCACTGAAGTGAATAAAAATTAAAAGCACACTTATTTTTATTTTTGAAAGAAAGTCAAAACACAAAAATGCTTTACCTGACAATAAAATCAAACTCTGATCCTGCAAGCATTAACACCCCAAGCAGAGTAGACACAGCCCCATCCAGCACTGGTGCAAACATGTGTTCCAATGCAAGGACAGCCCTATGGTTCCTGTCTCCTATGGCAGTTAAAAACGCCTGTAAAACAAAAAAGTCCATTTCCTTAGGCAGATGTATACAACCTTCCAAACAGCCTCTCTCCTAGCATACACAGGTTTCCATCAGTTAATTACTCTAAATCACAGTTTATCAAAGTTATCTCTGTAGCTGCCTAATCCTTGAGAGAAGGCTTGATCCTGCAGATATACCACAGCAGCTGCTGAAGTCACACAACCAGAGTAAGCACTGATAACAGAGTCAGCCCATAATAATTCTGGAAGCAATGCCTACTTGCAACAGTAGCCTTTTGTCTCTGGATTTGCCTATTTCCACCTGAAAAGAATCTATATCCTGGTGAAAGCACTTCAGGTGTGAAAATTGCAGGGCTGCTCCTCTCATTCTTGTGGGTCTATGGCCTCTGTGACTTTTTTAACATTTTCATTTCACTCAAAAAAGTTTTTGAAACTTTTAGTACTTCAAAGCTAGCAGTTCTATACATAAAAAATTATCCTAGGAATAGTGCTAAACATGGTAGTGCCTGAGCAACAATATCACAAGTGAACTGTCTTCATCCCTACAACTCCGTATGAATAAGCTTTATTAAGAACATGCAAATACTAGTGTTATAAATTTGTCTACTTTGTATGACTTAATGGTTTAAGAAAACAAGAACCTGACTGATCTTCTTACTGTGATTTGTAAGGGCTCTCTTTAGCTAATTCCCTACTGGCTATTAAGATATGTGCTGAAGCAGCTATCTTCCTCACAGTCCTGGAATTTAAGTCCCTCTTCTCTGGAACTAGAAAAAAACAACGTCACATTCACAAGCAATAGCAGAAAACTGACCTACAACTGCATTGTGAATCACTCTTAAACTCAATAAAATTTGGCATTAAAAGCACTACCTTTTTTGTTTATACAACACTGATTTGACTATTTATGTGTTCCAAAGTTTTTATCTCCAGTGTCAATGGGATAAAACCACTATTTTCAGTTTGCTTGGCATTTTATGTTCAGGCACAAGTGACCTGTAAAGTCCTGTAAATTAAATTAGTTTCTTCCCAACTAGAAACAACTGTTTTGTCCTTTTTTTTATTCCATTTTTCCTGTTTTAAGTCTTCAATACTAAGAAGCTGTCATTTCTTTCTTCCTCATCTACACTAACACTTCCCAAATGATTCAAAGTCCTAGCAAATTCATTTGCCTCCAAAAGTCTATCTGTAGCAGCAGGGGAAAAAAAGATGTCATCACTTGAGGAATTCAATTGCTCCTCTTTAATCTTACCCTACTTCCACTTTGGTTTTTCTCAAAATGATTCTTTTCATTTAGGGTGATTTCATGTGCCCTAACTCTGTACATTATCTAAACCACTAGATAAACAGTAGAAAAATATTTTCTTACAGACTGCCTGTTTGTGCCTGCTATTATTAGCCAATGGCTTCTGAAACGAAGGTGCAGATTTTACAAATGGAACACTAATTCAAACATGTTCACATTCAAAAAGTCCAGAAATACCAAATGATACAATATCTGATTTTGAAAAACTCTTCTGAAGAATTCTCTTTTGCAAGATAGAGAACAAGCAAGAGGCAACAGAAAGCTGTGTAATGCTGATGCAGCAACACTGGGGCATCAGACAAGGATCATGAGAGTCTGGAATGAAGCAAAGTGATTTAAGATCTCTGTTTTCTCTATATAATTGCATTAATCAGGCAAACAGGTATCATAGCTAATGTATTCTCTCTTGTCTCCTGGGAGACTGACTCAATGGCTAGGAACCACCTCATGAAGATCAACTCTTGTTCCATTGAGACAAACAGATAGGTACACAAAACTGTGACCATTTTCCTTCTGAGAATCATGTCACTGACGAGAAACTGTAAGGATTTGTGATCTGAACATTGCCACCATTTTATTTTAAGATGTTTTTGAAATGCTTCTTGATTTTACATACCAAAGCAACATGAACAGTGAATTCCACACCAATGCCAACAGAAGCAATCAGGATAACCACAGGCACTGCACTCAGCTTTATTCCAATTAGACCCATCATGCCAAACAGCTCCACAGTCATCAGAGCCAGCACCACCACCTAGATGATTTCAAACATCTGTTAGTATTTTCTTATACTCCAGACAATGAGGAGAAAGACATTTCAAAATAACCTGTTTACCATAGGACATATTCCTCAAAGCCATCCTATATTCCCAAAGACAAGCTGCTCTTGTTTCATTATTCTCAATGGCAACGAATGATGCACAGCCAGTCTAAATTACACCCTAAGAACCAGTTAACACATGAAGCACCAGCTTTGTATTGGTTACAATCCATCAGTAAGCTGAAAAACCATTTATTCCTCCTTATCATGGATACTTCCCAAAGGTGCATTTTTCTTTTTCACCCGTATTTCAGACTGTCCTTCCAGAAAAAGTACCTTTCAACTATCTGTATTTGAACTCTCTTTTGTAGAACTGCAAATATAAGCGAGGATGTCTAAAGCACAGAAGAAACTGAATGCCATAATCAGCTGATGTGTCTCAGGTTACAGAGGGACTCTCAGCTTTTAAGGTATTTGGGGGGGATTGACATGGACAAAGTGAACAGTTAAATATAAGAGGAAGCTTTTATTTTTCTTTCATCTACCTTGTAAAAAAAACTGAGGAAAAGGGAGGGAAGGAAACCTGGAGAATCAACTTTAAAAGTAGCTAAAGCCAAGCAGGAGAAAAAAAAAAATAGACACACTTATAAAAGCAATGGTGGACTCTGAAAATAAACTCTTTTTCAAAGGAGAAAAAGTATGCACTACAATAAATGATTTTATAAGCTAATGAATCAAGCATAATAACATAAATTGCTTGATAAGGTGCTATGAAAAATATTCTAGACTAAACATTTACCTTTTAACATACCTGTCATATAAATGTACATTAAAAAAACCTAGTAACTTTTTTATGCTTTTCTACTTCTGGCTTTTTATAAACCATATGATAGTTTATGGAATTTAAACATAGGGATATCATCATTCAATATAACTTGAATGTTTACTGAGAAGCTTTTGGTGCCTTGCAGAAGGCATGGAGGAGTATTCTCTGCAGTTTACAATTTTATGATCTTTCTCCTCGCTGAGTTACAGGCTTTCCACAGTCTGTACTGTACAACATAAGCATTTCAGTTTTTTCCAGAAATATTGCATTCAGAAATGGCTGGGAAAATTTACAGACAACCTAGTCATAAGCAACTGCCTTAAATAATTATGTGTGACAAAAGAAGAGAAGGAATACAGAATTAGAAATTGTTTTAATAAAGCTCTTAATTTTCCTCTGTGTCTTTATTTCTTATATTAGTGTGCATTTGAGCAAGGGTAAAAGTTTATGTACCTTTCTAAGAAACCTTTAAACCTGCAAAAAAGGTGGCCAAAAGATTAAGGTTATTAAGGTTTGTACCTTCAGCATGAACCCTACCCCCTCAAGTTGAATAAATATATAATGAATGATGCAATATACATACTCCACCAGAGGCCCAGACATAAACAAAACCTTCCCGACTACAGCAAGAGCTATGCTGAAAGGAATTTGACTTCAACAAAGACCCTTATAATAAACTTACAATGATCCCAGCTGTCCAGGGGTTTAGGAGGAAGAGGGCACACACCAGAAACGTGCAAGCCAAAACCACACTAATGGATAAGAGGAGCCAGTGACGAAGTCCAATGTACTGCTCCCAGAAGAGAAATGGGTAACCATTAGGGTAGCTGGAGATCCCCAAGCTGGTGTAGTTGTTACAGATAGCTCTCACTTTTTCAATAGCCTCCACAAAGTCAGAAGTTTCACGCAATCCATTGAGGTAGAAAGGAAACTGAGCATATTCTATGGGCTCGGCTGCTGGAACTAGGAAAATGACAGCAGTGTTAAAATGCACTTTTGGGAAGAACATTATATACAGGTTAGCAAAATATTTTATTCTTCACAGCAAAATGCATAAAAGGTAGTGAATTTGAATTTACTTGTTTGGAATTAATTATAGTTTTAAAACTCTCCAATAAAGAGAAACCGGAAACAGCACATGAGATTACTCTATTTTATCATGCAGTGTAATGGGATGAACACAGCCTCCACCAAGTTCCCTAACAGTTACCTATAATTTAACAGTAATATTTCAATCCATGTATTTAATCCTAATCAGTGTTATAGTGCTTTTTACTGAATACCTAGTCAAAAATCCCTAACTGCGACATAAGAGTGGACAATCACATAATTAAAAATTTTATCCAAATGCTCCTCTTTTATGCAGTTTCTTCAAAATTAAAGATCATTTCCCTAAGATTAACTGAGATCCACTGACACAAAACTAGACAAAAATTAGGCTTGAGCAGGTTGGTTGGTTTTTAAAGATTTCCATTGAATATTTGGAAATTCAGATGCAGAAATCCACATTCAGATGGAAATTAGTGGAGGAAAATTCCCCATAATATAGAAGTAATGGCTTACTGAGTTACTTCCATAACTTTTTATCCCTTAATAATTTGACAAACCAAGACTCTCCATACTTCTTTTTGAGTGTAATGCAAGGTCTACTCTATGACTAGAAAAGAAAAGGCTTTTTCAACAAGATTTTGGTTACTGCCACTGTGTGTTCCAACCCTGCAGCTTCATTCAGTTGACTTGCTTAACATGATTTGCCCTATTATAATCTCAACTATAAATTTTCATTAAGACAAAACTTGGCTGACTGCCACAAAGCTCTAGGGTTTGGATACACTGAAGCGTGGTTATCCAACCACATTTCCAAGTGCACCAGTTGTCCCCTGTATGCCCTCTCTCCTTCCCTACTGGTGTCCAACTAGCAATCCTCAATTGAAAGCTGAATCAAAGCCAGCTTTTGGTATTGGTGCCAGAAAATAGTGAATGGTGTGAAGTGGGACCTCTCCCCTAGTCCCTCTAGCTCTTGTATGATATCAGTGCATTAGCTGAGTGTACAAGTTACTTTGGTAAAAATTTCTTAGATATTAGGAATTGAGAACAGCCATGATAGAATTTCAGTAATGAAATTTCAGAATAACTGAGGCAGGAATTTCATGAAATGCCCAGGTTTCTCACACAGACAGAACTATCAGGTAACACTTTAAAAAGCAATGCTTACTATAAACTTTTAGAGCTTTAAACTGTTCTGTAACCCATTATTCAACATGATAAAACCCTGCAATGGTGTCAGAGTCTCAGCGGCGCTTGGATCTCCTATAACTACAGTGTAACACAATGTCTTCTCCTGCTAATGCTTCCGAGCCCTGTGCAGTATCAAGGGTTCCTGGTGCTAGAAGGAAGGAGTGGGGGCACTCATGTAAACTGTAGGAAGTTAAGATGAAACACTACTTACTCCTCAGCCGTGTTTCTGGCATGTAGTCTGCTTTGTCATGGACCCACTCTGGGCGGTGCGGGCGGATGTTGGCCTGCGAGGCAGCGTAGGCCACAGGGTCATTGCTAACCCAGGCTGTCAGGTAGATGTAGAAAGCATTTGGGTTAATGATTCCATCCGCATCCACCAGACGCTGTTTAGTCAACTGCAAAATGGGGAAAAAATTAGAAGCCTTTCAGAGTAAGTTTTGGTTTCAGCAGTCTTGCCATAATGCTTTCAACAAATGGCCTGGAGATGCAACACATGTATAGGAGGGTAAAAGTAAGAGAAGATGAATCTTCACTTGAAGGGACTTATCAGTAAACTATTGTTGGACAACAAAAACAAAATCTAAGAAAATGCAGTGACAGTGGTTATTTATAAATTAGTGCTCATATAATATTTACAATAACCAGTAAATCAACAGATGGTTCCAGAATACACTGAACCAATTAAATCCAAATTCTGAACAACTGCAGCCAAGAATGAAAAACAACCAAGTTGGAGAAACATATTTAAAGACAGGGAAAGAAAACCTGGCAAGAGTCCCTATACATGTCTGTGTGCAGTTAACCTCTGTTGTTAACACTGAAGGAAATGCCACCCAGTAAATGGAGGAGAGCTATAAAAATAAAACAACATCTGTATAAATTTTGCTAACACTTGCCTCCTATGACCTATGTATTCAGAAAATGCCCAGTGTCAAAAAAGCAGACGACTGCCCCGTGTTATTTGGGTCACTGTGGGCAAAGCATCTGTGGAGTAAACAGCAGTGGTATACTTCCAGAGTTCTGTTAGCCAAATCCTGCACAGCTAGAGCTCTTGCAGAGGACTCCATGGGTGAAAAGTATTACTGGGGATTTTTGTTTTGTTTATTTAAAATTCTGGCTGAGCTCCAGTTCCAGGTCTTTTTAATGAAATGAAAAACAACAGTGACAGCAGTTAAAAAAAAAAAAAAAAGTTGGATTCCAAGGATCTGGATTCAATTAGTCCACAGGATATGCAACAACTGTATGTCTTCAAGCTGTCTCTGGAACTGCACAGTACAGTGCTCAACCCCTGTGGGTGCACCACACTTTTCTCCCTCCCAGGCACAGGAAATTATATCAGCAGCTGCAGTCCAATTGCATTTGTTCCACAGCGTACCTGGTACACTCTGCTAAACAAAATCTCACTGAAGGTTTTCTCTTCTACTCCCTTTCTTTGCCTAATTCATTGCTGAAGCTTCATTCAGACCTGACAGCATGTTGCATGTTGCTATACAGCACTGTGTTTCACACACTACAGTAACTTTGAACAATGTACTCTGTAAATCTGTCACCTTTAATGCCAGGAAGAAAAAAGAAAGACAGTAAGCAGAACTGCCAAGAAGCTCATTAAAAACACTTTTTTTCTGCCTGAAAGCACAGTGAGTTGATGATGACTCTCAGAGAAGAGAGGGTATGTTATTGAAGAATTTCTTCTTCAGCATTTGAAATCTAATTTTAGTATAAGGAGTCATTCCTAATGTATTTCCACTTACAAATGGCTACAGCAAATGCAGTCATATGTTGTGGTAACCTCAGGTATATTTTATTTAGTCAGCTTTAACAACTGCCATTGGTAGGTCTACAGCACTTTAGATGTATTTAGTGATGCTGGAACAAGAATATGATACTGCATGTAATCATTTCAGTCTCCTTCCTCTATAATTCATCAATACATTTTTAAAAATGTTCTTCTTTGAACATATCAGTAGGAACAAAACAAATAATTGCAAGTGTCCGACATAGGACTAAACTCCATACACCTATGGATGCAGAGAGGTATTTTCACAACAATTTCCATGGAAACTGAGCATGTCTGGCACAGGGGCACAAAATGCACACCAGTAACAATCTAGGACTGGTATTTGCCATGTGGATTTGAACACTTTACAACATAGGCCATACTGCATCTGAGGAGTGGCTTCAGCAACATCAGCAAGGCCATAAAAGAAAGGCACAATTCAGACATTCAGCTCCTTGACATTGAAAAAAAAATACTACAACCTCTGTAGACTTTGCACCTCCCCCCACTCCTGAAGACTTGTGTATTCTTGTGTAAACCAGCATGAACTCTGATACACTACCTGGCTGATGTCAATGGGCTTTGCATGGTTGCCTGTTTGTACCAAGAGTTTGTAAGCCAAAACAGCATCGTCAGAACCATTTTTATAGCTGTTGTAAGTGATCTTCCCGGTTTCCCAGTCACTGTCAAATGCATCCTGAAGTCCTGAGGAGTTAAGAGAGACAAGGGGAAGACAGAATAAGTAGGTGAATAATCACTATTATAAACAAGTTTCAAAAGGAGAAAGAATAATGATACTTTTTCATAACTGAATCAGGATGAAAATTATTGACCTGGTGCCTCCTAAATTTGGGGCTCCACACTGTCAGTGTGTGGGAAGTGTCAGTTGCATGTCCAATATTTTGCCCAAAGAAAGGCAGGGGAAGCAAGAAAATGCAAGGGAGAAGCCCCAAGAGTCTCCAGGTTGTGCAGACCAGCAAAGTTAAGCTAGCAAGCTGAAAATGCCTTGTGAACTGGCAAAAATGGCTTCCCCTCAAGGGAAATTGAATATCTTCTCCAGGCCTTCCACTTGGAGAAGTGTATGGGAAAACGTTAATCTTGTCTAGAGCAGAGAAGGGCTGAGCTCAGCCCTCATCCAGCTTCACCATCTTACAACCAGAGGAGGCATAAGTCTGTTACCTAGAAGGGAAACCTTCTCCTTACTCGCCTCTGCCTCACCAAAACCGTGGCTGAGTGCATGGAACCACAGAGGAGGACACACACTGCTCTCATTACTGTTTTGAGCTACTGCAGAGCACTGGGGCAATAGCTTCTACGCTATAACCAGAAATTCCACTACAAGCAGGGAGAAAAACACACTCAGACTTTCAACTTCAAACAGCAACTCAGCTGCTCCTCAAGCACAGCATGAGTGAACACGATTTTGTCAATTTGTTCCATCTGTTCAACTTGTGCAGCTAATACAAGTCATGGGATCTGCTGCCAGCACATGTAAAGATCACAGCCAACACCTATTCACTCTCAACTGTTATTTTCCTCCTTGCCACCCTTCAAGGGGGAGGGAATACCTCACAGCAGAAATTTGGATCAGATTTAGTACAGGAAGCCACATCCCAGTACAAGGAAGCTCTGTGCAAGCAGATGACAAACTGCATGTCCAGGGAAGGGAAGAAAAAGGCCGGGGGAGTGGCGATGGAGGAAATCATCGACCCACCTCACAGCTGGGCTGAGGAGCTTTATTGAAAACCATCGCTGCAGGCTGGATAGGTTAGCTACAGCTGTACTGAGATAAGAGCACTGGAAGAGAAAATGCACCCAGCTGACACTGTCTCCAGGGCACAGTACCCATTCCCATTAACAAACTCCCATTGACAAACTCCTCTCTTCCTTAGAAAACTGCCTCCCATGCTGTCTCACTAAGCCATGTCAAATCATGTGAAGCCAACAGGCTGAGAACCAAATGATGAAAGAAGCCTGCCAGATCTCCGCATGCAGTCCTCTAGCACTGTTCCAGGAGGATGACAATTTGCCATCAGGTTTTCTGACATCACCAAAGGACTTTGAGGTTCCCTTTCAAAAAAGCACTGTTTGCTGGCACTGCAGAGAGGGGAAGCATTGGTAAGAGTATGCAAAAATACCAATCCATCCCTTCTGTCCCATGTCCAGCTCCATATCAGTTTCTCAAAAAGTGGCCAGGTGAGAGTATTTGGGCTATCATATCAGTGACAAGAAACACAATGACTTTGGAAAGTGAAGAGGATGCAGTCAAAAAAGCACATAGAAAAGAAGGAGATGACCCAAGAACAGTGTAACTTCCATTAGAAGTGTCTCCCTTCCACAGAAGGGGCACACAAACTGCTATGGTGAACAGCATCTCAGGGCAGAGCTTTCACATAAACATCCCACCCCTGTCAGGGGGTTCCACAGACACAATAATAAATCCTTTGGCATGTGACATATACCAGTTTGCAGTTGCAAAAAAGGGCATGTACTTGGAAACATTACTGCAGTGGGTGAAAACTCTCTTACGTCTCCACCACATCCCCCTGCTCCCCTGTTCTCACAAGTTTGGTCATCCTTCAAACCCTGCTCCCTTTTACACTTTTACTCTTCAGCTAGCTTAAACACTATGTTTCAGATCATTTTATAACTCACCTTGCTGAAACTAAAAGTCTACAGAAAGACTATTAAGAAACCATTGGCAATTGTACTTAATTTCTGAAGAATTTCAAACTTGCAAGAAGTAAAATTTGCCATTACACTTTGAAATTTGTAGTAGACTTTTGCTGCTTTCAAAGCAAACATGTTCATAGCAATTATTTTAGTAGATATTTAATCTATCATAAATGGGATAAACTATACGTTTCTGGGCAGAAAGATGAAATCTTGCTCACATCTTTCTGCAGAAAAGTTATAGAAATTAAAGGAATTTTTGAAACTTTATATGAGGAATTTTTTCACATAAGCAGTCACTTTTGCTTAGTGCTTCAGAAGAAAGTGACAATATAGAAAATTATGTGAGAGTGGGGGTGAGGAAGGAGTTCCTACTGGCTCATGTGAGCAGCTGCCACCTTGAAACACCAGATAAGATTTCCCTTTGCAAAAACAAGCCTAATTAGAAGCTATCAGGGAATCCAAGCTACCTCATTTACATTTGGTCACTAACAAAAGCAATATTAACGTTTACAGCTTAAATGAATGATTAGTGTGAACTTTTCTTCTATTGCATTTTCAGTAACAGAAAATACGGTAACATAAACAATACTAGAAAGCAAAATAAGAGGGATCTCTGAAAAGAGAAGTGCATGAGGCAGAAGGCACAATCCACTGCTATTAGATGAGGAAGAATGCACAGCTAAACCAAGGGTGCCTTTTTGGTAAAAAATGGTTGTTCACATGTTGTTGCATCCTTCATTCTGCTGGACAAATGTGTTTGTGTCAGAAGGCCATCTTGAGCCATTAACCTCTGGCACTGGATTCACAGTCAAGTCAGCAGGAATTAGCCATGCAGGTCAAAGCTGTTCCTACTTCAATTATCCAGCCCTTCCAAAACATAAAACTATGCCACTGGAACTGCTCTACCTCACAGAATCCAGCCTAAACCTATACCTTGTTTGTAAATTCTCTCATCATCTTCCCTTCCCTTGACTCTTTTGGCATCAGCCACAGCTGGTAACAATCAGGTGTTATTCTGCCTATTAGTCTGCACCTTTCAATAATTCCCCAACTATGACAAACATGGCAGCTACAACAGTCTAGCTCCCCCCGTAACATCAATTCCCTGTACCACTTGAAAATATAATCTCTTTCTATTGATACATCTCAACATCCTCCTTTACAGCCCTGTGAATGAAGTATCACACTCTGTGCCTGCAACTTTACAAAGCAGCAGGGTTGCATTAATTGTGACCTCCTCAGAAAAGGTAGGGAGGAGAGGTAAGGATACAGACCTAAACGCCAATTAATAATCATAACGATTAATTCTAAAGCTGTGTGTCATCAAAAGACTGGCATGTCACATGGACCACAGCAAGTCACTACAGCTCCCTGGAGTCACCCTGACTACTCTACTGTAACATTTTAGCTCCATGCAGCCTGTCAGTATGCCCCGGGTACCAGGAATACACGCAGCTCCTCTAGTGGAAGAAAAGCAGAGGACAAATAAGGATAGGCTGGCTAATGTGGACTGGAGGGGAAAAGTAACTATGTGCTAAGTACGGAGTAGGAACACCGCTATGAGAAGAGCACGTCTGCAAAGAACACACACAAGCACAGACAGACAGTGTGAGGGGACATGCAGGCCCTTGGCCACACAAACAATCTTTAGTGCAAGAGGGACACAAAGGATTGCAAAGAGGACAGGGAGGCACCCAAAGTGAAAGAGGTTTGGGAAAGTATGTGGTGCGCCTGACAGAGGGGCACTGGGAACGGGAGTACTCCTGGGAGTAGCACCAAGTGGGCCAGCTTCCAGCATTTCACTTCGAGCAGCCTGCAAGGGAGCAGATCCAAGGGCACCTCCTCCAGACTTTATCGTTGGCAGACTGTGCTGAGGTTGAGCACTAATAAAGCTTCCTGAACACAATCTCAGATTTCTATCTCCCTCATGGGGGAGGGGGAAAAAGAGAAAATCAGGACACCAGATACACTTTTTCCTACTGTTTTGGAACAGCAGCAAAAATAACCACAAAAGAAACAAAGTAAACAGCAGAGGTTTAAGAGAATTTGGAAAAGCAGGTAGAAGGACTGCTTAGAATTCTAGCAAGTATAGTAAGGTTCCAATCCAGCAAACATCTAGCTACATTGAATTTTCTTCCCGCCAGTAATGCCATCCTTTACAGCTCAATATGCTTATGCGAGCAAAATATTTTAAATAAAGCTTCCAGTAAGTAGACTGCAATGAATGGATCCAATGTATTTAAAAACCATTAAAAACCCCCAAAGCTAATAGCTGAAATACTGCTTTACATTATTTAGGAATGCGTTAACACATGGGAAACCTCATTTTGTGTAGATTTGTCACTAATGTGCGTCTGCTTTCCTAATATTGTTCAACATATTTTCAGAAGGAATAAAATACATCAGATACTGACAGTTACTTATATGTTCTCTAAGAATCACAGGCTGCAGTGGTCATCTGTACACAATTAAGTTTAAAATTTACAGAAATTTACAGTCTCACCAGGTCAGCACAATTTTTCTTTTTTTTTTTTGCAAATGCTTCCTAGAAATTCTCCCAATAAAAAGATATAGATAGGACCAAAGCAATCCTGGGCAGGGTGTGTTGGCTGTTAAAGTATCTTCAATATTCAATTACCTGGTTTCAATATAATTATCATCATAGTACCTGAAAGGCCATGCCTTCTCTTGTTTTTCCCCACCCTGTTACACTTCAGCACAGAAAAGCAGCACCACAGAAAGGGTGAGTGTAGTTGATTAGAAACCTGGACTATGCAGTAAGTTCCTAGCCCAATAAAACACATAAGCCACACTGAGTTTTCTTCATGCCAGCAGTCCCAGTTGAAGCCAAGAGCTGAAAGTTAAGTCTCTGTCAGAATACATCACTGGATAGGGATTTTTCATTCACTGATCTGAAAACACTCACCAAATATTTATTTACCCAAGACACAGGGCCATATTTGGCCGTAATGCATAATGCCTCATCAACTGCTTAGACATGACTGGCATGGATATAATCCCTTAAAGCTTCATAACTGTCTTACTAGGGAGTAAACTTAAACACAAAGAAAATAAGTGACAAAGAGTGTGCCCACACATGGGTTCAAAGCAGCACCTAGGCATTCTCCCTACTGCTCAGAGCCTTTAACTGTGTGACTGAATTACAGCAATACCACTATGAACAACTGCTCTTTCTGAGCAAAACAAACTAGGAAAAGTTTCTGTAACACTCTCTTACCTTGCAGCCAGTCTCGAAAGTAGTGCAACCACATTTTGGGGAGCTGCCTATCCTCTTCCAACAAAACATATGCCACGTTGCTGAAACTTCTGTGAAGTTCATAAAGTAACTGCTGGACATTTGGATAGTCTGCTTTCTGTGTCACAATATACATGTTGTAGAATGAAAAGTACTTGAACTGTGCAGCAATAAAGTCATATTCCCGTGTTTCCCGTGGTACAATGTCTGTGAGATCTAGTCCATCTCTTACCCGGGTAGTTCCATAAAGGCTGAGCCCAAGTAAACCCAGAAAAAGAAAAATAACCATAATCTGCAACAGAGAACAGAGATGTATTTGGTTTTAGGCTTCTAAAGGAGCTAATAATTCATAATGTCATATTACAAAGCCAAATTCAAAATTAACATCCATCAGTACTTTCAAGCTTTTATTTTTCTGGTGTTTTTTTCATGCATATACATACTACAAGATTAAAGTCATTTGTTCTTCCTTGAAGGGGCTCTGCATCATGGATGAGAAATTTCTATTGTAGTAAAGTTTAAAAGTGACATTAATTTCACTGTTCACAAGCTTATGTTACTCATAGTCACCAGCACCTTCACTCGTAACATATATTTTAAGTATGTGTCCATAGCACTTGCAAGATAAAACTTATAAAATAAGAAACCAGCTGTAAATTATTAAAAACTGTTATTTCACAAGAGCTGTATTTATTCCTTATATTTAAAACCATTGCTAGGATATTTTTTTAAAACTGGGCAAGGCAGAAATCTAATTTTGAAAACCAGGTAAATAGCTCCCCCGATTACCTTAGCTTTTGGTTTTAGGAGGAATGGAGCATAATGCTTTTCTGCAAAAGATGAGAGTGTCCACTTTGTACAGGGTTGCTCAAGGCAATGTATACTGGAGTCTGAGAATTGGGAAAGCAAATCCCTCGTCGAGCTTGTGCTTTCTGGGCTCTGGCAGCTCAGGTTATCTTGTGTCACTGTCACTGGCTGCACAGATATTTCTGAGCGGGGCTCTGCTGTGGTGTAGTACACCTGCGTGTGAGGATCATATTCTGTGCGCAGCTGCACTGTGGACTGCATTGTAATCTGGGTTTCATGTGCAAAACTGTGGCTGCTGTACGGGGGTGGAGGACTGTAGCAGGTATTGTCATTTTCTGCATACGCTTGAGGCTCAACCTGAATCACTCTAGTGACACACGGGCTGTAAGAGAAGAAAAAGCCATCTGATCGCATTGAGACAGATCCTTATTTTAATCGGGCTAGATAGGATAACATGCTTTCATCTGAGATTTTTTTCTACTTCTACCGGACAGTTTACACTAATTACGTGTACCACTTAGATATTAATTGCATTCTGTGCATTTAGGAAACATCTCTCAGATATGGTTCATAGTGTAAGCTCCTGAGAATACGTGCTAATTTCTTGTCCTTCAGGAAGAAGGAAACAGCATCTGTCTGAAGACATTGACGTGTACACACATCACTCCATTAATTACACATGCTCATCAGGTAGCTGTACAGTCTGAAGGCACAGTAAATGTGTGAGTCTGCATCTCTGTATCCACACTGAGAATTGATACTTAGATGAAGAGGGAAATGCATGACATAGCTAGTTCTTGTGTTTAGAAGAAATGAAGTAACTGTTAAATGATATTTGAGCCTTCTGGATAAGATCTCAGACTTTTGGGAGGCAGGTTGAAATGATTTGCCATATACTGACTGAATATTTTATAAATCAGGAAAACGTTAAAGTATTAATGAAAAGATTAATTTCTAGGAAGGATGGGCCATATGAAGAGACAAAACCACAGAACTGAAGTATTCCCTTTATTTTAGTCTATGCAAAACTCTAGCAGTTACCTAGTTTATATTAAAAAATATAATTATCAGAGACAAGCCTATTCCTGTACATGAGAAATGATGAATGGACGATACTAAACAGTATCAGATATTTTTCATCAAGTGCACAAATTCTACAAAAATGAGAGGAATTCAGAATGTTGCTTACCTAATCAAAGCAAGCTCTCACTAACTGCATTTCTTCACATGCAAAGGGGCTGAATTCTGATCCACATTTGGTGCTGAATTCTGATCCACATTTATTCCCACATTTAGATGAGGGAATGAATGGAGTGTCCTGAATTCTTGAGAATCAGGGCTCCAATACCCTAACACATTGAGCTGTTCTCTGGAACTATGACTGAATAAGAAATAGCTTGGGATCACTCCCTGTTTTAAGCATTCCCCCAGACACAAATTCAGTAAAGTGTTTTCTTCCTTTGACATTAAATATTAAACTATTGGCTCCAGGATGCATGTAAAAGGCTAAAATGTCCCAATGAAGATTTTCCACATCTTGGTTATGGCAGTATGAGTACATGTGTAGAAGTGTAGCTCATCCTCTTCACTGCAGTCAAAAGCAAAAACTAAGGTAGAAATGATGTTTGGTTTCCAAGCAGTGGCTCCACTGACGACAGTAGACTCCTAACCCCCATTATAGGCTCAGAGTTGGCTGTGTATCAGGTGAGAGTATGTTTGTACATGCTTTAGAATGGCAGTATTACCATTCTGTATTACTACTGCAGCCACAAAGGACACTTTATCAAGCATTATCCTGTAATGGTAGTGATTATTCCTTATAGTGCTATGAAAAACTCACCTAAGGGGAATTTCACAGTTTATTTATTTAAGTTTAAAGGCATAAATGCATAAAACTTAACATATCATGATTTACTGTAAGTCAGGCTTCTCAGTATCCCGAGTTATGTACACCTTTCCAAGACTAGCCAGTACTGGCATTGGACACCTTGCAGTAAGTCAAAACCTTCTAAAAATACTTCAAGATATTCCTAAATAGAGGGTCTTTCATCTGCTTTCAGAAAGTTGTTCTCCAACAGTCAAAATGAACATATGTAGAAATGAAGGGAAAAGAGTGGGGGAAAGGGTATATGGGGGAACAGAGGGAGACAGATGTATTTCAGCTTTTCCCTTCAGGCAGGTAAAAAACAAGGTAGCAAATGTCAGCCAGTCACTAGCAATGAAATGGTAACAATAACATGCTGACCCCACTTTAGTGAAGAACTCCCACTCTTGACAAGGAATGGATGCACTGATTGGTGACCACAGAGAGGACAAAGATACTAACTCTCACCTTGTAAAACAGCAAAATATGTCCAGTCTCCTGTCCTCCCGACGGTAAAGGTCCATGCTCAGGATAGCAGGAAAAATCAGCAGAACCATAGCAAAATTGAACACCACCACAACTGCTGCCTAGGGACAATCACAGGATAAGTAAAGCTGCTAAACTTCATTTAGGGCATCAGCTTTACAACACATAAAAATCCCTTTTAATTCTCATTCTCATTTACCATTGCACTCCATCTGATGCTTTTGCCTGAGCAAACTGAGAGATTATATTTTCCCATTTCATTATGGTAGGATATTGTGATGAATTAATTTAATACTCAACCTCATATTATTATAACACATCTGTGCCTGGATATGTCATGATTATTTTTAAAGAGGAAAAACAGCCTGTTGACTCAGTAATCATATTTTTACATAAAATTCTGACATATTTAGAGTCTCAAAGCAAAATAAAATGGAAGATAAACTGAAACTAGAACTGAAGGTCTTACATTTATGGGATCTGAAGCAATTTAAGTATCACAATAATATTAAAGCACGTTATTAAATCAGAGAATTAGATCTCAGTAAATTTTAAAAAACTATCACATTAGTGAAATACTGTGCACTTGATAGTCTTACTTAAGAGTTTAGCCAAGAAAGAGCAATATTTTGAGTTTATCAGGGAATATTTTTTAAGTAGAATCAAAATTAAATCAACACCACATAGCAAATATATGTATTAATATGTCTGTCTTTAACAGAGCTTGATTTATGAGCCAGTCTACCAAAATGAGTCTTAAATTGGAACAAAAATACTTGATTTAATTTGTAAAGCAAGTATCACATAATGAAAAAAAACAACCTCCCCGCCCACCTCCTTTCAAACCATACTCCAAACCCTTTCCCACACAGAGATTCCCAGAGAATTTCCATAAACATATGTGGTGCAGCATCTATCATTATTATTGATAGCATTTATTTGTAATGCAGAATTGTTAGGAGCCCTACCCATCACAAAGGGAAAGCTGGGCACTGGGAACTGGAAGAGAGTTTTAAGAGTAGGAGAAACACTGGGGAAAAAAATTTTCAGCCACCAACCAATGAAAAGAAAAAACCCTTTGAAAGCCTTATGTTTTACCCATTTGGTAAGCAGCAATCTCAATACTAGCCCAGTTTCATATATATAGATAAACCAGCTATCTATATATAAACTGTCAAGTCCCTCCACCTGTGACTTCTAAAATAATGACTACTTGGGTTAATATATTCTTAAAGAGCAGCAAAAGTTGGGCTACAAAAATGACCCAATATAAATGTGATGTCCTTTTTCCCAAAAGAAATATATGGTTTCTTTTGATCTTGAGAGATCAGACCTTGAAACTGGCAGTACAAACAATGTGATATCCAAAAACCGTGTTTTAAAAATTCTTGAGTTGCTTTTCAATTAAATTCTATAAATTGCTTAAATTTATCTGCAAAAATCAAAGTAATAACACCCTGAATGATTTTTACAGTTTTGAAATAGTCAGAATATAATAAAAAGCTTAGATATTGTTTTTACTGTTCTTAAATGACAGAATCAACTAGTTATGCAAATATTTTCTGGTAATTTCAATCATAAATATAGTGCATACAAAAGCTGGTTTTATTGCTGTTTCTTTTTCCTGATCTCCAGCCTGCTTGAAGTAAGATTTTAGTACTGCTGGTTGTCTGCAGACATGTCTACTAAAACAGAATTTACCTGGCACTTGAAGCCAAATTAGTATTTAGTCATCTTTGCGAGAAAAGATCCAATGATTATTTAATGATTTATAAATATTCACACAGAAAGGTATGCAAGGTCATAGCCAAGACTTTAAAATGAAGTGATTTGCTTTTGATCTGTTCTAGAATTAATTCAATCTGTCAGAAAAACAAATGGCTGCTGTTGAAAGAAAGGTGTTTGTTGGACCTCATTCTTACAATTGCTTTCTTTGCTGGTGCTAAACCAAAAAGAGGTTGAATCACCCATATAACATGAATAATTAGTTGTGCCTAACCAAGATCTTGTATCAAGGATCAGCTAGGATTTACTGAGATTTGGAAAAAATAGCTGAGGTCTGAGTCAATAATTCTTATTCCTCTCAATATGGCTGAAAAACTAACAGAAGTCCTCTGTTTCTGCTTTATAAACTGCAAATACTTCACGCCATATCAGTTCCCTTTCTAGACCCCAACATCCTTGAATCACCAATATTATTGAATCTGAAAAGTAATACTTAACTGTGTGGTCGAGATGCCATTAAGGATAGGTATATTGACATTTGATTTTTTTAGGAAGCGTCAAAACTAATCCAACAACACACAGTAAATCTGCTTACTTACATCTCTTTTTAGAACAACTAGATTTTCCACTGTGCCATCCTAGTGCTGATGTACTAACTACCCTGCAAGTAAGATATTTCAAAACAATCTCTGTTCTGATTTTAATTTTAATAGATTCCTAGAGCTTAATGTTGCACTACCTATACATTGCGTGCTCTATCTCACCCACCTTAACTCAGTGTTACAAGGATTAGTTGTTCTCAGCTTTCACAACTAAATAACTTCTTGTACGAATTCTAATACATTGTCCCATCAAAGAAACCCCACACTCTGACTTGATAAGGAGAGGAAAGGATGAATTACTGAGGAGTGATTCAGTCCCTGCTCTGATGCATCTGCCACTGCTGCCCTCCCAATGTCATTTGTACACACAGTGCTGCAGAATAGGAAAGTACAAGCACTGAGGTCCTGACAACAATCTGTAAAGGCAACAAGGAACTGCGGCAGCTGAGCTTCCCAAAGAACAGACAGCACCCAGGCTGAAAGCATGCTTATGATTTCTGAGAACAGGGCATTTTCTCTTGCACCTTTGGAGACCAGTGGTCAAATGGGAGAGAAAAAGGCCTCAGACCTTTTCCTTGGGAAATTAGTGAAAGTAAGATTAGCCTAGGAGGAATAAAATGGGACCTACTCAAGGGTGTAAAATGAAGGCATTCAGTGAAATGAGATCAGAGAGCAGTAAAAAAATTCCATTAATCAGAAAAAAATTATGTTGGTCACTTCCTGAGAAACATGCTATGGTTTTTGCATCTTTTCATAATGCACAGCTTAAAAATATTATTGCTGCTGCAACTGTTAACGGAGACAGAAGAATGGCAGTCTGTGCTGGAGGCAGCAAGGGAGCAGGGAGCCAGGCTGGTAGGTATGTGCTGGGGCCCCGCTGAAGTATGTGCTGCTATGTGCCATTCCTGGCAGCCCACCCAAGGAGACCGGGTGTGCTGTATAGCCAGAGGTGATGAACAGATGAGGAGGTCTGTCAGGAAAACTTCCACCCTACTGCTCTCTATCTGCAACTCCCTCCTGATATGGTACAAGCTCAAATCCTCATCCCCTGCCCCCTTTTCCCTTAGGCTTTAATTCTGCTTGTTAAATTCTCATGTCAGGGGCAGGGAAAGGTGGGGGATGAACCACTTCAGCAGAGTAAGATAATGGAATGAGCCTAAAAGCATACATTCTTTCCCTCCAGAAACCCACCACTGCCACCTGGTAATGGACTTCTGCATTTAGGAAAAAAACTTGTCATTCTTGTGGTGAGGGAAAAAGTTATTTCTAACACTCCTTGGGAAAAGTTCCACCTCTGCTCATTAGTGGATCCACACCACTCCTCTGCTGTTGGGGAAGGTAGTTTCTGATGTAAGAAAGAAGAGGTTGATAATTTTTTTACCTTATCTTTCCTGGGCAGAATTTACTGTGTGACAGTCTCTGAATAGTCTGTTTTAGGAAATAATACAGCCCAGAGGTAGTTAGACTCCACCATGACTTCCTTCACTTATACTCAAAACAGACTCCACCATGACTTCCTTCACTTATACTCAAAAAAAAGGGCTGTGTTTAAGACATTCCTATTGCAAGCTTCAAAACTTTCAGTGGATTTCTCCAATAACCTCTTCCTTCACCACCATTTTAAGAAACAAAACATATCTGAAAATTCAGGAGCTACTCCTTTAGAGTCTTGAGCACTCTTAGAGATGATTCTTACAACTGAGTATTTAGGTCATATTCAGTGATCTCAAAGCCCTAAAACTGCTTAAATAAGGGGCTAATAAGATTAACAAATGAAAAAAAAATAGAACAGGGAAAGAACTAAAACAGTCCCTACTTGTGCATGTAATTAACTTCAAAGATCTCACTTTCAAAAGAACTAAATTCCACTTTTTAAGTTCTGGAAAGAGCTAACCTTAGCAGACTCTTAAGACACCATCAGACTTGCAGTGTTCAAGTTCCATAAAGTAAATAACCAACTCAGAGGTATCAATTAACTGCTTTATCTGGCAGAATATGACAGAAGCTAAGACAGAAGAAGGCACTGATGTGCAAAACATGAGTTTCTAACTAGTTTATCTTACAGGTGCAGGAAATAATTTATTCTCCCTCAGCAGCCAGGTTATTTTACCAATACTGGGCCTCAAAATTATACAAAGATTGACAATTACCTTGTAATGTCTTAAGAAAAGTGAATGAAGAGCAAAACAAGGTCAAGAACAATCCTTCTTTTTCAAGCCCCTCTGTTAAAAATTCATTATCTAGATGAGAAGGTGGTAGTATCTGTGAAAAGTAAATGCAGCAGTATTTTATTGCTTTTTAAGTCTTGCTAGGAAACCATCAAAGACAGCAAGGACTTCTTGTTTAAACAAGTCTGAGTAAGAGGGAGAGAGAGGAAGGAGACTGCAAATAAAGAAATCCATACAAAAATACAGACCACCCACCAAAACTGCCATGATTCTCTGATTCCAAGTACTGAGATCAAAGCATCACCTGATTTTGATTTTACCTTGTGAAGCTAGGCAAAGCAACTAATAGATGTTCCTTCCTAACAACAAAGGATTTCATTTTAGTGGTTGCTAACTCATAAGTGTATCAGTCATATATGCAGCTCTGACATCAATGAATATAAGTTGCCCACTGCTCCTCCTTTGCACGTTTCACCTCTTATATACAGGGCTACTGTGTTCCAGCAAAGACAAATTACCAAGTGAGAAAAGTTTGAGTAATTCAAACCCTAATTTCTGGGCACTCATGTGGATTCCTACACATAAATTCCATATTAATCACTGCCTTATAAAAGATGTCGATGTTTTTATTCCAAATAATATCAACATGTTCGTACAATAACACAGTATGTTGAAATCTCACTGGAAGCTTTTTGTTTGTCATTGTGCTATACAGACTTTATTTTAAACTTTCAGTGACTCAGTCTGTAGCATGGCAGTAGGCAAAAATGAATTACTTTAGGACAGGCATATGCAAGTTAACTGATTATACTACCAATTACAGCTGTTGTCTCCACATATGTTCCAAAGACAACCTCTCACATTCTGACATTGAAGAGTGAAAACATGTTAAAAAATGAGCAAAATTTGATCACATAAGAGAGAATTAATATTGGTGGCTCACACTCAACAACTCAGCAGTGGGATTACAACAAAATGGCCAATTTGTGTTGAATATTTCTTTATGAAATGCATTTAGGCTGAAGCAACTTCTTTAGAGCAGATACTACAGTCTGATGACCTCCAGTATCCTGTTAGCTGCTGAAGGTACCTGTCAAATATTTGAAATTGGGATACAGACTTAGGAGACATAAATAACTTCTTCGTTTGGAAGAAGTTATATACTACCAAAAGTATTTCACATATAAAGTTTAGTCTTTACCATGCAAATGTCATGAGTTTCAACAGAGCTAAGTGTGTGGTCCTGCACCTGCACTTGTATTATGGTGTCAGGTCAGGCTGGGGATGAACAGATCAGAGCAGCCCTGTGAGAAGGACTTGGGGGTGCTGGTGGCTGAGAGGCTGCACATGACCCAGCCATGGGCACTCCCAGCCCAGAGAGCCAAATGTGTCCTGGGCTGCAGCCAAAGGGGGGAGCAGGGGGATTCTGCCCCTCTGCTCTGCTCTGGTGAGAGCCCACCTGGAACCCTGCATCCAGCTCTGGGGTCCCAGCACAGGGAGGACATGGAACTGTTGGAGTGAGTCCGGGGAAAGTCACAAAGGTGATTCGAAGGATTGAACACCTCTCCTGTGATAAAAGGCTGAGAGAATTTGGGTTACTCAGCCTGAAGAAGAAAAAAATTTTCTGGAGGGACCTTACAGAAGCCTCCCAGTACCTAAAGAGGGGCTACAAGGAGGTTGGAGTGGGGCTTTTCACAAGGTCATGTAGTGACAAAACAAGAGGAATGACTTTAAACTGAAAGAGGGTAGATTTCAATTAGATATAAGAAAGAAGTGTTTTTTAAAAATTTGGGTAGGAAAACACTGGAACAAGTTGCCCAGAGACATCTAGTTAAAGATGTCCCTGCTCAGGGTGTAGGGGACAGGGTTGGGCTAGATGACCTTCAAAAGGTCTGTTACAACTCAAGCTATTCTGTGATTCTATAAAATAAAACAATTCACTATCATATGATCTGTAAGAAGAGACATCTAGGTTTTGGTAAATCAGCAGAGCTAAACACTGTTAACTATTCAAGGCTAAACATCTGCTAAATGATAAAGAAAACCAATGAGGCCTTTACATTCTCTCTTATTCTCTATCAAATTGTCTATTGAGTAGGAAATGTAAGCAAATTATTAATGCTTCAGGTTTTAGCTTTTGTATTTTTCAGATTCTGTATTATTAGTAACATAATTGCAATCACAAACAGTTTACCATTTTACAGTTTAATGCAGGCATACTTAAATCTCTGAGAACAGCAACAACTGCCACAAGTATTAGGAAAAATTGCAGCCCTGCTTCCTCTCGGTAGCCAAGGGCTCAATGGGAATAAAAATCAATGGAGAACCAGGTCAGAGAAGAAGAAAAATAACTACTGAAATAGTACAATGCACTGTAGTGCTATAAATTGCTAGTGTCAGGGGAAAAACTTCCAAATCTTTCTTCAGTCTTCACTTTTAGAAGAAATCCTTCACCAATATCATAAATATTTCGTATTTATGAATATATATTATCACAAACAAATAGAAGAAGACAGAGGAAGGCAGAGCAAGCAATGCCTGGTTCAGCACACAAAATTCACGTTTTCTTTGTACCCATCTGGAACATATAATTATTAAGTTTTCTCCAAGTTTGCTAAAATTACTGGGAGTAAGGGAGTAAAAAGTGCTACAGTAATTATTAAAATTACAAATTCATATGTACTGCTGCAATTGCACTCATAGTTTTGAAGAGCAGCAAACTGGACAAACATGAATGAAAGGATTAAATTGCTGCTGAGAAACAGTATAGTACACACTACACTGCAGCCTACTCCTCTTGACTTTAGAATACAAATCCGTCTGGGAACTTGTTTCTTCTTAATTACATATAGCTTGGGTTCTGCATTCAACCCAGCTGTGGTGGGACAGAGTATTCTTTCACCTGCTAGTAGGATGTGAGAGACTCTGTGCATGAGAAGAGGGAGCAGGAGAATGGAGAGCAGACAGCAATTGTTACTGCCCAGGTCTGTGGCACTGCTGCAGTGAGGTTCTGGCTCAGTGAACCACAGGAGCACCAAAATCAGGCTTCAGTGCCACCACCAACAAGTACCATTATCACACTTCCACAGGGCATCAGAGCTAACAATGGGTAGCTTACTTGGATATAAAGGGTATAAACTTACTTGGAGTGAAAATGCTCTTAAAGCCGGAATAGGAATTAAGGCAGCCATAAAGAAAGCAGTAACATTGCTGATAGATGTAAGGGCTACACTTGCTCCTGTTCGCTTTAGACATTCACCTGTTCTGTCCTGCAAAACAAAGGATGCATCTTAAAAGTATGGCGAATAAGCTGATGTCCTGCAAATGATGGGGTCATCCTACAGGTGTAACACAGTACCAGTGAAAAATTATCACCATTAAATTCTGAAGATAAATTCAGAGTATGTGAGAAAACTACATATCAAGTTTACTATTCGGTAGGAACATAGATGAATTTCTCAAGTTTTTGAGAGCAGAAAACATGACTAGAATTGATTCTAGCTTCAGAACACAAAACTAAATGGGTGCTGACAATATATCAAATACATCTGCTGATGAGAAGGATTTAATTTTTACCAGTAGAATCACTTGGTGTTCTCATTTTTCAGACAAAATAAGCATGTATTAACAGCAGAGAGGCATAACATAGCCACACATCTTGAAAAAATATGTAACAAAACAAACAAAAAGAACTCCACCAAGTCTAGGGACCACACACAAAACCCACCAAGAAATCAAGATAAACACATGACCCTTTCCGAACCCAACAGGCTATTATGAAGCAGACAGAGATTATAGAGTGAGGTTGCACTACCTACATACAAAACCAGCTGGAGAGAGCACATGGAAGACTGCTCATACAAAACAAAATCAGCAAATATACACTAGTTTTAAATGGGATGTACTTGGGATGTGAAAATTTGGACTGAGACTAAAAATATTAATAAAAGTAAAGAATCATAAAAGTGATGACCCCTTAGATTTCCTATCAGTTATATGTTATGCTTTGAAATGTCATGGTCAATAATAAACTTCAGAAAATAAAAACAAGAGAAAAATACAGAAAATAACTCAATTTTAGGGCCATAAAAAAAAAATAAAGGTAAGTGCTTTCCCTCTCTTTCCCCCTTATCTCTTCTATTCTATGTGTTCTTTTATTAAAATCATTTCATCATCTCATTGTCAAGACTCCTATTTGAGTTCATTCCTAGATTTGCATTAATATTCACTGAAATTTTTGGCAGAATTTGGATTATGGAAGTCTGTCTTTATGTAACAGTTTATAAATTAAAATTTCAAGAGAAAATAAACCTAAGACACTACAAAAAAAGAAAAGGAAACAAGAATATGAACATTCAAAAATGTCCTAGGACCACATGTATTGCTATAATTTCGTATTTTGACAGAAATAAGAATTTCTAGACCCTAGGAAAGCTAATAAAAAAAAAACAAAAACAAAAAACAACTCCACTGATTAATTCTGGATATGAGTATTTGTTCCTGTATGAAACTTATTGTTTTATTTTCCTTCACCATTTTGTCATTACCTCAAACGGAATTCTCTTATTCTGTCCTGTTTCACTAAATGCATGTGCCAGAAGGAAAACATCATCTACACCAACTCCAAGAGCAAGAAAAGGCAAAACCTTGGGGAAGAAACAAAACAAAACCCAAATAGATTGTGTTATGATCTGCCATGCAGCTAGCCATTAAATGGCTAAATATAGCAACTTTTACATTACACTCTACACAAATCCAAGGGTAAAATGAAAATGGAAATGATGCAATACAGGTATTAACTTTTATTCTGGAATGTAGCTGAGGAATTTAAAATATACCATTAACAGGTACAGAATAGACAATATCTGATAATAATTCAAGTTACATTCCATATATTTTCAGAATTTGAACATCCTGGTATATTCAGATGTAAAAACAAATCTGCAGTTCCTTAGATACTTAGGATGCCTCCACTTGTATTGGGACACAGAAAAACCTAACAAGAATTATACAGATTACATAATACCTGTTTTTTCTTCAGTATCACTTGTCAGCATGATAATTTAATTTATCACAGCATAAACTATGAAATAGGAAAACAGTAAAGTAAAAATCTAGAGCCAAAATATTTTTTCAGTACTTTACTTCTCAAAGATTGACTTGTGTTCATTCATTAACAGAGTACTTGCAATTTAACAGCAGACTTGTGTTTTCTAAATACCTGAGTTGTGGCAGCATTAAAGGAAATTCCGATCAATGAGCACAGGCCCAATCCTGCAGCCACAGAGAGTGCAACCAACAAGACTCCTGCCAGCCCCACAGCACCCTGAGACTTGGCACAGTCCCACCGCAGCATCGTTAAACAGGCATAGGCAAGCTAAGGAGAGGAGGCAGAGATGGGAATTTGGGGGAAAAAAACCAAAATATTAGAATGTCCTCATCTATCAGCTGTCTCTCCCCATCCACCTACAGATCCTTACACAATTTTTAATCAGAATAGACATGTCACAGAGGTTACAAAAGGGAACAGGTGAGAAGCCTGAGGTAAAGTTTACAAACTGTAGGTTTTACTTTAAATATTTGTAAAATACTCTGGACTACAAACTGGTAACAATAAAGTAAATTTTTAAGCCTTGCTCTACTACCAAAGAAAATTAAAAAGATTTATTTTGTTACCATTAGTAAGTAGCCACTAGCTACTCGGATAGCACTGACATCAGAAAATGACTTCAAGATGTCATCCAGGGTGGTCGTAGTGAAGGAAAGCACCTTCTGAGTAGAATTTTGTGCAACACTTTGATGAACAACCTATGAAAAGAAAAATAAAACTTTGTGTGAATAAAGAATTTTTTTGTTTCATTTTAGTAATTTAGTCAAAAAAGTCATTACCATCTTCTACAGCACACATCTGAAATCAAACCTTTTTTGCCTTAATGTTTCTGCTAAATCCCATGCTCTACACAGACATTATGCTGATGCGATAAAACACTGATGGTGTTTCCTGATTTTTTTCTGGCAAGCTGCTGATTATGAGACAGAATTTGAGCCCTTCAGGAAAGCCTACTGCATGCCCGGCTCGTTACAAACACTTAACTTGAACCCCTTCCTGTAACTCCACAACGCAGTACCAGTTCTGCACTTAACCCAGGCCAGCCATGTCTCTGCCCCTCCCTGGTGGCCAGAGGTCAGAGGTCAGAGGTCAGACCATTTGCAGAGGTCAGAAGAAGCGCAGTGGAGGGCAGGGTTTGGGACACGGAAGGCAGGCCTTGTCACACAGCCTCCTCACCTGGGCTGCTGCTGAGGGAGCAGCCCATGGGTGGCTAATGTTTTCCAGACACCTTTAGAATAATCGCCAACCAAAAGCTTTTAAATTCCAGCTAGATATTTGGTTTCTTCTCAGCCCCAGCTAAACAAAATTGTCCCAGGCAGGAAAAAGTAAAACCTTCATGGCTTCTCATATAGGAATGACCAAGCAACTTCTTACTGGAAAAAAACAAAAAACCAAAACCAACCAACCAACCAAACAAAAACCCAAACCAAAAAAAAAAGAAAAAAAAACCAAAAAAACAACCAACAAACTACCAGAAGAACTCTTAAAAACAGGGAGGTAATTACTCAGTCCTGTTTTAAGCATATTCCTTAAGGAAATACTATAAAAAGTAGGCAGTGATCCTTAGTAGGACTTTATTGTATAGTATCTAAGTTATTTTCAATTTTACCTCAACATACATCCTCTGCCAGGCTTCCAGAATTGCTGCTGCCTTGTCCTCGTTCCAGTTGATATGTGAAACATATTCATACCCCTTGAAATGTTCATACATTTGCTTAGGGGTCATTAACTGAAACATGGTTTGCAAAGCCTGGGCACTGTGACACGGAGAGAAGAGAGAGGAGAAATAGGCATAAACTGAGCATTTTCAGGAAAATATTTTCATGGCATGAGATGCCAATGCAATTCTAACAGGAGCTTGCTTGAGTTCTTGATTTTACAGGGCACATGCTTGTATTAAAATTGAACAGAGTATAATTATTCTTCTGTGTATCTGGTGCAGTTGTACTGCTATTGAGGCTAAATCTGTTTTCACTAAAGTTATAAGAGTTTTGACATTATTTTCAGTAGGATTAATGTCAGGAAAAAAGAATATAACCCTACAAATCTGTTCTTAAGTTCATGCTTAAGACAGATTGCTGCGAGGATGCCACAGGAACAGTTATTTCTATGAAGTCTTGTAAATGCTGGCAAAATGTCATTTGAAGACCTTGGTCTTTTATACCCCTTGGAGAGAAGTAGTAGATTAAACTCCTCATACCTAATAAACTGTGGGGAATACACAAAGGCAATCCACCCTGAATGTCCACAATATACAACTCCATCCAACAATTTCAGAAGCTCTTATTGGTCAATAAGAAGGAACCATTAATTAGTAAGAGAAGGAACCTTTTTCTCTTTCAATGGAAGTGCCTTACTTGGCTCTTTCGTGAGAGAATCATCAATATGTTATGTGAATGCTAAAAAGGTTAAAAGTTCTCTGGAAAAAATTATACTTCATTTTGTTTAGTATGGCCTGCATTTTTCAGAACAGTAAATCACACAGTTTTATTTCCCCACTAAAGTCCAGTGTTCTATGTCTTTGTTTAGAAGTCTAAAACAAAGGGTTTGAGTTTGTGTTACTACTCAAAGTTGTATTAACAACACAGGGACATGAAAATAGACTATTCTCTGTATTGACCCTGAATAAAACATTCAGTGAATATTTCGGAATTCTGAGAGAAGTCAAAGGAGTTAGTACATTACTCGCATTATTTTCCTTCCTTTTTCCTTTGATCATATTTCAAAATGTGATCAAAGGTGTTCAGTGCTTTACAGACTGTTCAATGCTTTATATATACATTCTAAACAACAAAGTTGTCAGTAAAAAGCTTTCTTTCTGACTGACATACACCATCATTCTGAGATAAGAAGCAGGAAATTATGACACCACTTTATATTTAAACAACAGCCATAGCATTCTTTTAAATTCTGCTCTCTTGAGATGTGTCACCCTGAAGTGAAATTTATAATACATGTGAAGGGCAATAGAGTTTGCATCATCCTCCTACCGTGGCCTAAAAAATGAACCCTAACAAATTAAAACTGACATTTTCTTTAAGTATTTTTTTTTACCTGACAAGTTTACCAGAACTGTTCTTGACTGTACCACCTATAATCAGCTCCTCCTGCCAATGCATGTATTTTCTTGATAGTCCATAGCATCCACCACTCAAAACAAGGGCTACATCAAGAGGCTAGAAAAAGTTACAAAGAAGCAGTTAATAGGTTTCATAACTTTATAAATTCATACCTTAATTCAGCACTCAGTGAACTAGAATCATGGATGTTAAAGACCATCTGGGTAGTCTACTAGAAAAAGGCATTCAACAAATCAAGCTAAGAAAACACCCAGGTGCTTGTTGACCAGATGGCAATTTCGCCAAAGTCTAACGTGACTGATAAAGGGATATATAAATTCAAGTCTTATGACTTCGAACTCATCACAAAAAAATTAACAAAATTGGAGCTACTTGAGGAAAGGCTTTTCAGCATGGCATGGGGGTGCAGCAGCAGCTGTGTTCCAGCAGTGGCTATTGTCTGTCTGAGGCACCAGTTTGCTGAAATGCCACATCACTGCAGTGCCACAGCAACAGCTGACAACTGTACTTTCACTCTGAATGTACAGGATTAAGCATTGCATCACACAAGGAGGCAAAATCCATGACAGTGAGCTAACAGCGGGTAATAGGAACAGAAAAATGACATCATGCAAGAATGCAAGCCATATACTGCTTGGAAGAAAATGGTACTTCTTCTAGTCTGTTTGACCTTCCCCCCCAACCTTCTCCACCCCCCAGCCTCCCTTGAAAAGACATGCACAAGGACAAGCAAACTTACTTTGGTGGAATTTTTATTGGGAGCTGTGATTGGGCAATCGGGATCAGCAGGATTCAGGCAGGGTCGATCCATATAACCATGACCAACCTCCGCTTTATTCAGCATTTCTTCCCAGCTCTCCACTTGGTAGTTTATTTTCTTTAACTCTTCCAAGAATTCTAAAGGGTCAAAGTTGATCCACTGCAAAGGAGGCTTCCCTCTGCAAGAGCAACCAGGAGAGAAAGACACATAGAAAAAAGACAAAAGAAGTTCTGAAATAAGCGTACTTTAAAATTCATGTTTGAACAAATAACTGAGTTATTTTCTGCTACAAGTTAAAACCTTTTCTGGTAAAGCTGTTTCATAAAATGTAAGGCATGCTTTAATTAGATTTGTTTATGTACTTTTCTTGAAGCCCAGTTATAATTTGAACAAAAAAAAAACCTTGGTTCTTACAAAGCTATCTTGTAAAAGTGGTTAAAAATACTTTCACTTACAAACAAAGCAAAACAAATTATCAAGAACCTAAATAACAAAAAAGCAACCAACTGCTGCTTCAAAGAATTAGGGGGGAGGGGAAAGGGACAGAAGAGAGGGCACTGAGGAAAGAAAGCCTTTCTCATAGTATCAGATTACTTCTTGCTAGTCTAATAATCATCTTGCAAATGTAATCAATCAATATAACTGATCTTTGTTTATCTGTAACAATACTGTGCTCCTTCAAATGCCCTGGCAGCTTGACTATCAACCATCAAGCCTTCCTGCTACCATGGCTGTCACCACTATCACTGTCACGTCTCCCACCCCCCACTTCTGAATTTGTGATGTTGACAGACCAGAAAGGCTTTTGACTGCCTTATTCTGTGGTTCAAACCACACTGTATCTGCTTAACCAGGCTTAAGTCATTATTCTGAATCTCCCAACCAGAAAACACAAACCCCCTTATTTCCCCATCTAAAACTGTACACTAAAGGTTAGGAGATGGCCATTGCAAATTGCTTTTGCAGAGACATGCAAACCAGGACAGAAACAATAACTCAAATCCTAACTCTTGCATAATTAACAGAAAATGCCTGCACAGATTAACAATTAACTCTTTAAAGAACTCAGGGCATCTACTATCACACTTGTAAACTGTGAGAAACCATCTATAAAATATAATATATGGCTTCTTTAATGGTCTCTGAAGCAAAGGATTTGTTCTTTACTCCTCAGGAAGGCTTGGAAATTAACCCAAGACATTTTCTTAGGTCTAAAATTCCCAGCCAACCAATGTTTTTGTATTTTATGGAGGGAAAAAAAATCCACCAGAAACAACTTTGCTCCAGGGATAAAAAAAAAGGTAAAGCACAAAATTCTTAAAACTCCAACTCAGAATTTACATTTTAACTTGCATGCTAGCAACACGGGAAAAATAAAAGAGGATTTAAATTGAGGTTTACAAATAATCTCACAGAAACAGGTAAACCTTGTGTTAAATGAAAAAAAAAATCCATGCATATATGCGTATTTTTTATGCAGATACACTACACTTCATATTTTATTTTTCCTGTTAAATCATAATCTGAATAAACAATGGAAATGAAACTGAAGCACTGTACACAGTTATACAATTTAAAACATTCAGACCAGAAAGTTACAAAAACCACATGCTTACAATAGATAGGCAGTTCCTGACTGTAGCTTTGCTCCCTCCCAGAAGCAGTCCAAAGGAGTGATAATTAAGCAAGGATAAAGATATTCTATGATCTGTCAAAATCAGAAAGAGGAAAAACACAGTCACACGAGAATATAATCAATGCAGCACAAGCTGAATCATGAAAATACACAAACCTTGTAATTGAATGCCCGCTATACATACCTGGTCCATGTAACCTGCTTCTGTGATGAGTTCTCCTGATTTGTAACACAAATGTTCCAATTTCCACTGTCTGTAAGAAATGTGAAGGACAAATGTTTTCTTCTTGCACAATTAATGAGAAGTAATTTTGAAAATATAACAGACATTTAAAACTGTGACTCATATACACACACTGGCCTCAAGCAGCAAATCATTGAGTAAGGTAAATGTTATTAAAAAGAGGTATATTAGATCTCACCAAAAAAAAAGAAGTGCCTATATTTCAGTTGTTTCCATATTCTCTGTAAAACTCACTCAAAATAAGGAGGGAGGCGCTTTTGTACATACAGGATAGTGAACATGTGTTCATGGGACAAAAATACATCTTGTATTTTTGTCAGTCTCATTTATATGAGACTGCTTGTGACTTAAGGTATCACTTGGTGACACCAGTAAGAGAAAAGCCACCTCCAGCTCAGAGGACTCAAATATAGTCAGCAGACCAAGACATGCAGAAGCAAATGAACCATTAAGATTCCTGCCTTCTTATTTCAGCTGTATTACAACTTCCACTACCATGGCTTCTAATGACTTAGACAGGGCAGGAGCTGTGTAAAAGATAATTGGAGCCTTAGCAGTAGCTCATGGAGGAGCCAGCTGGGTGTGCTGAAAAGATCTGCTGAAAGACAGGGAGCTTTGTGCCTCACAGGCAGGACTCCTAGGCACATCACTGTGTAAGTAGTAACCCTGGCAGAACCATTTTTCAGGGAGACATCCTAGCCCTGTGCTGGTACCTTCCTGAGGTCCTGAGATGCACCATTATTATTTTTCTGTTGGACAATACACAACTGCCAACCATCAGTATGGGGCCACAGACACTCTTTAAGGCACAGTCTGTTGTCTATGTTATTAGACAGCTCTTATTCCACCCGCTGACATTTCTACCACATCTGCATTTCCCTTTATAGCCAAACTATTGGAAGAACACTAGCCTCTGCCACTGTTCAGAGCCATTATGTACCTCATTATGACATCAGCAAGTGAATTCAGCTCTAGCACGGAAGGATTTTCAATGTTAGGAATCCTATCCATAAGGTTCTACATTTAAGATCACAGACAATATACCTTTACCTAAAGAAATGCTGCATGCTGTGGCATGCCTCACGTAACACCACTTCCCCCATCTTACTTGTTAAATGCCAATTTATCACAGCTATCATGCCACAGTGTCAAGCTATCAGAAACCAGTGACACTCAAATCAAAACACAGCCCCAAGGGCACTCAGAAGTGCCAACTATTTAAAAACACATTAAGGAAAGCACGCATCCATTTTTCAGCTACCACATATGATCAAGAAAATTTTTGATTTTCCCCTCACCTGTTGTACATATAGACATGTACTCTGCTGGCCTGAAGTGCAGACTCAAGGTGCTGTCGGAGTGCTTCTGTTGTTAGTACATTAGCACCATCTTCCTGTGGAGTCTGGATCATGAGCTGGGGGTTGAACATGGCCTCTTCTCCAATCTTCTGCCGTGTGTAATTTAACTCCTTACTCACTCGTCCACCAACTGATGGATAAATATTAAGGACTTTGTATTAGCCAATACCTGCTTATTCTGCATTCTCTTGATGAACACTCTCTAGTCAGAAAACCCTGACACTGTGCAGGGCCTATTCTTTCTCAAACTGATCACTGTGTAACTCTAAAACTAAGAACAACTTTTAGTATCTCTGAAAAAAGCGCCGCATTCCTCATTACAATACTTTTACTACTACTGTACTGAAACACTGATGCATGAACTGGAGCCTCTGTTTTTTCTATATTATAACCAATATCCCAAGTGTAAAAATTAAAGAAGAGGAAGAAAAAAGGAAAAACTTTACCTGGCAGACCAGAAGAAATACTATGTTACAATTTCTTATACTTGTATATAGTCTACTCCAAAAGCACATTTCAAGATAATGGCTTTAATTTACACTCTTCTACTAAATAATTTGGCAAAGATAGAAGACAAATGTTCCTCTTAGGTATTAAAAAAAATGGAGAAGGGAAAGAGTAAGTGAGCAGAAGTATTTCTTTCAGCCTTAAATAAAAAAAGAAAAAATGTCAGGTTCATATAAAGAGATGCAGTTTGAGTGTAGCAGAAAGGTCTGTCTACAGTAATTTACCCCAGTGGCCCACTACCTGGCTTAACGTGCTGTGATGCAGGAGATTGCTCATGTGCAACATCTGTTTCTAAACCCACATGAGCCAAACGGTGTGCTCCATATTAAAACATGGTGGGGAAAAAAAGAAAAAGAAAAAAAAAACGAGGCAGAGGGAGACTGCAGAGTCGACAGGCTCTAGAGGGAGCTAGATACAATTTGCCTTGCCAGAAAACATTGCGTAAGAATGGAAAACTGTCTTCCCTTTTACAAAAACCCCAGCCAGCTAGAGTTCATATACTTCATATAACCTCCCCTGTAGTCTCTCTAGCCAAGGCATGTGGGAGGCAATGTCAATTAATTCAGCCTATTAGCTGAATCAAGACTACATCCAGATGAGGAGGACAAGAATGTAAATCCAAGCTACAGATCTGGTCTAATTTGTTACATTTTTCTCAGTCTTAGCAAGCTTGACACTGGCTATCTGAATTACTGCCAAAGTTTAGCTTGCAACAGTGTGAACAGAAATTAAGCACATATATTTATTTCTTCCTAGGTCATATAACAAAAGACTGATCCATAACCAGTTGGCAGAGTGAGAGATGAGATTCCTGAGCCTAAACAGGGACATACTTTTTCAATCACTTGGGCCCTCAACCCACCCGTAACACCCCTGGGGCTAAAACGACCACCAGGCAAGAAGCTGGGCCCCTGCATGCATAAAGCTGTCAGAATGAGACCCTCAACAATTAAACCATACAGACATTCTGGCACGAAGCATTGCTTAATTTCTTGTTCAAGAATTCTTTGAAGAAATAAGTGTTTCCACAACACACCCAATTTTTTTTCAGCCTGTCACATGTGGGATTACCTCCTTTATACCATGGAACAGAGACTAGCTCACAGTACACAAAACAAAACAAAACAAATCAAAATGCAACCTTTTACCTAGAGTCCCTTTAGAACTTTTTAACATCACTCTTAGTACAGTGACAGGACATACTATCATTGAGACTGCATTTGCATGGTAACAAAATGTTATTGCTAATTCTTATCAAGATTTAAACTCTAAAAATACTTTCATTCATCAGCCCCAGGTTTATGCTCACTGCTGTCTTTCCACAGTATTCCACCAATCAGTAGTCCTTGATACTTGGATTTTTAATTCATCTTACAGGAATATGAGAAATAGGGAGCAGAGTTATCCTAATCTGTATGTTTTGTAACCAGACCTTTCTTTCACAACCCTTTACACTGCAAGTGCTTCAAAGACAAAATGACTCTCTCCCTCTTTTGTCTCTCAGTGCCAGTCAAGACAATAAAGCCCCAATGTTAAGAGGACTGGGGAGTCTACCATAAACTTCTACTCCTGGTACTATATTCTCTCCCATTCCACCCACACTTTCCTTTTAAATTTAACCAGAACTTGAACCAACAAATCATACTTCATGCAAGACAAAGGGCATCATTCCCACCTCTGCTGAAAGTGACCAACTGTTTACTATCAACAGAGATGATCGCTTCCTAATCAAGGTCCTGTCAAACCACGTTAACTTCACTGAACAAGGCAGATCTAGCTAATCAAAATTGCATCATGCAAGTCAGTCATCAGAACAGAAGCTGTTTTTTCCCTTTCTAACCTTTCAACCAGGAGTAGCAAAACCACCCAAGAAGCTGGGCACGGATTCCAGAACCCATCAGCAGATCTGCTTCGCATTCTTCTTAAGGCATTACACCATTTAACTATTCCTTTGATGGGTCCATTATCTACATTTCTTCAGCCAAACATAGTAAAAGTAGCTCCAAATATTGCAAATATTTTATACAATGTAGCAATTAGGTAAAAAAAAGTCAAGTGTACATTGACAGAATTTTCAGCTGCAAAACCAGGTTATGTTAAAACATATGGACAGACCAGAAGCAAGTGAACACATCAGTGGTCTTTCAACATATTAGGAGTAAAAGAGAGCAAAAGGGAAGGAAAAACCAAAAAAATGGTAGTTTTTACCAGCTATGCTTCAATTTATTTTAATTAAAAGTTTGCAAAGATCACTGGAGCCTGCCATACTCACATATCTTCAACCCACACAATCAGCACAATTAGCTGAACAGGCATTAAAATCAAGCCTCTTGTTGCTCTTTTTTTTTTCCTCCAATTACCCACAAGTAGTGCAAAAGCTTAAGGGAGAAATGACTAAAAATGTCATGGAAATGTACTAAAGCCACTGTGCTGGATATATATATATATTACCTGCAAGACTCACACATTTTGCAGTAATTCATTCCTTACACTTAAAAAAAAAAAAGACATTATAGTCATGATAGTGTTTCCACACCATAGCACAAACAATATAAGGGAAAATATGATCAATGAACAAAATGCTGGTGTTTTATGGTTTTCCTTTATGGACTCTGTTTTCTTCACCTTGGTAATAGCAACATTTTACACTCAAAATGCTACTAACAGAAATTTTATGTATGGCATACATACTTCCAATTCTATTTTATATCAAAGACAGTCAAAACCATCTCACATTTTCGATCACTCTGATCAAAAAATCAGGAAAAAATCCACATATCACTGTCCTTTTTTATATACCAAAAGCCACTTGATGGCATTCTAGACTTTCATTACATGATTCCTTATGATTAAGTACACAGATGGCTGAGTCAGTAGCAAGAATTCCCACAATCAAAAGATGATTTAAGGTCAAGGCAGAGTCTCATGACTGGTGATAAGACAGTGCAGTAGCTTGTACACCACGCTTCCAGCAGTGTCATGGGTTTCTGCCTATAAAAAATGAGATACCATGCCGTCTGTGTGATTTAGCTACAATTTTTTCCGGGAAAAAAAAACAAAACAGCAAAGCACTAACACCAGTGTTGTGGCATTATTTCGCATTTAACGTATCTGTTTCTAATTCTCAAGGATGTATTTGAAGGCCATTGCTCAACATGAAACAGTGTAACTGACAGCATCTCTACTGCTGAGGGTTAGTTATAATTAAAAAGCTGTTTTTTTTTCCAGAGACAAGGAAAGTGCCTTCCTCCTTTCCACCCTCTCTGATATCCACAGGCTTCCCTCTTAGCTCTTTGCCAGAACACTCAAGATCTGCCTTGAGCAAGTCAGCATCCTACACCATGAAACAAACTGCTGCTCCTCCTGAGCCTCCCCACCAACTGGAACAGAAGCTGGTCAAGGTAATTTGCACTAAGACTGGTGCATAACACTATACACCCTTCAATTATGTAAGAATAAGACTGTGATTGTTTTCATTGGCACAATTTTTGACACATTTCCTTCCACTGGCTTAGTACCCATTTTGAAGTTCCTGTGTCATTCAGCTCATGTGCTCATTCCACTGAGAATGTCAGTCTTATCTACACCTTTCTCACAACCAAAGTGAAAATTTACATGGCATTCATTATATTAGCATGTTAACAAAGAAGTCTGGAATCCATTACTGCAGTCCCTTCCATACCAGCTAGCCTGAGGAGTAAATTTGACCACTGTCACACTTACAGATCAATGCTAGATCAAGCCATCAGGGGTGACCAGAAGTCACTGCTTATTAATTTACTGTCCAGCAGCTCTGAAGGCATTAAATACTTATTTTTCAGAGTGTCTTACAATGTTTCATTTCAGGTTAGTGGAATTGCATCACATAGCCCGAGATTTCTTTATTTTTCTTGGACATGAGCACTACCTCTATTAACCACTCAATAGTTACCTTGTGCACTACCAGATGCAACCAGTAGCTTAGTAGACAGCAAGCTCTCTCTAAAAAAGAACATTCCTGAGAGACAAACATTTGGGATAAAAATGTTTGCCTACCAATGTGGAGGACAGACTTTGAGAAACCAAAGCCAAGTTTCCCACAAATACATACTGGTTTTGGAGCCTAAATTCTCAGACAAATTTTACATACACAAACAATTTTCTGGAGAACCTCCCTTCTGAAGACTATGGGCCTCAAGGTGTTTCCATCTGAGCACCCGAGGAGCAGACACAGTTCTGCTTTGTTTGAGCAACACCACCTTTTTAATTTTTTTCAGGACTATAAATGTGTAGCATTAGAGCAATTCAGCAACCTTGTGCCAGTGAAAACTCAAAGCAACAGAATCATGCCTCTAATAGTCATGGACAGCTCACACAAACAATGTTTTTGTTTTATGTCTTTGAAAGATGCTAACATTTTTGATAAATCAGGCATATGGAAAAGTATCCCTTGCAGTGCTTATTTTATGGCAATAGCAAAGGCAGGGAACCTTTGCAATACCTGTAATCACTACAGCAGGAGGTATAGGAAATAAAACTCCCTTACAACCCAGTGATCACATACAAAGATTGAATAATATTCCAATGTGTTCACCTGGGTCTCAGCCTTCACCAACCAACCCAAAAAGCAGGAATGTACAGAGA